CGCAGTGGACACTCGCCCACGCAGCCACAAAGATGTGCCGAGCGGAGTCTCCCCGGGGCGGCCCACTGGGGCATCCCGCGAACTAGCGCTTGCTGCCTTGAAGTCGGATCCGCAGGCACTCACAACACGCCCCTTCTGGAAGAAGAAGAAGTCCCTGCTCTGGCGGATGAGCTGGGAAGCGAAGGGCCGGCCTTGCAAGCGGATAAACTCGCGTTCAGGAAACCGCGGGCATTCCCGGGACAGCCATCCCCAACGCGACCGATGGGCTGCTGGAGAAATCCTCCGCCAGTTCAAGTGAGTTTGGACTCATTCGAATCCAACACGCAAATTCTGCGGTGGATCGGCTTTTTATGATTCATTTCGTGCTCGCGCTTTCATTCCACCCAATAGCACGAAGTTGTCCCTGCACTGCGGATTCGTAGCCTTTTCTTGCCTTTTCAGGGGAGGAACCTGCCCTCCTCGTGCGCATTAGCACAAGTGCCCCTTAACACCAATGCTCACATGTGCAAACGCACTAGCCCGCTCCACTGAAGGCACACTAGTGCTGACTCACTGTTCAGCACATTTGTACGTGTGTACGTTTGCACTAACGCAAATCAGCTCGAGGGGGGTGACGTTCTGGCAAGCAGATTCCTTCAGTGAGCAGGCGATGGAGCAAGAAATGCCAAAAGGGAATAGTTGGGACAAAAGCCACACAATCCTAGCCTACAACACCCATCAGCCCCAGGCCATGCAGAGAAGCTGAGTTCCATAAATGCAAGAAGGCCACCACATAACGCAACGTTGGCTTAATATAAGCCTCTCAAGGTGGGGCTGGAACCCCAGATGGCTAGTGGCCTCTGGTGCTGAGCCACACGCCCGGGCAGGATGGATGGCGCCCATCCTCACAGCTCCCCACTGCGCCGGGCCAACTGTTGCGAGGTCAGCCGGCTGTGGGCAGAGGGGCGGGTGCAAGGAAAAGCAATTTTACGCATCGCGTTTTGATCGGGGACAAAGACCGGGAGGGGGTGGCAGGCAGGAGGCTGCAATCCAAGGCCCTCGGGCAGCCAGGGGGGCCACGGGGCATCCCGGAGTCCCAGATCTGAGCCCCGAGGCAGCACGCTGGCCTGAGAGCCGAGAGCTGGAGCTCCACCTCCTTCCTGCCAAGAGAAGCCCCCGCGGAGCTCTCCGAGGTTGGGGAAGTGCCCCCGGAGCAGGGAAAAGGGGGGATTAGGAGGGCAGGGATGGGAGGAGACTGGGGAGGCCAGGGTGTGAGCTCTCCTGAGGCTCCCCCAGCCTCCCCCACCCCGAAAACTGTGCCACCTCTCTAGCTGGACAGGGAAGCAAAGACAGCTTTCTGCTGCTGCTGCTCCTGCCCTAAACAGGAGGCTCAAAGGGCTGCAGGACTGGGGGCTCACGGGCGTCCCCGCAGGGTACTGTCCGCATAGAATAAGCCTGTCCTTAAAAGGTGCTGAGCCCTTTCTTAGCGAGGGAGCCCTGGGCATAAGGGCACGGCTGCTCGGTGGGAGAGCCATCCAGCCCTTCAGCACAATTGCACAACGCAACCACATCGCCCCAGTGCTTACGCAACACAAGCGAGAGGCCAAGGGACCGGGGACTCCTCGAGTGACAAAGCGGCTCCGTGCGGCAGCTGGCCGAGAGCGGGGACAAACCCCCTCCACCTCGCATCCGAGGCTCCGACCCGAGAGCAAGAGAAAACAGGTTCCATCCCGATCGGCTCCCGCGCGAGCAGGAAGTTTCCCTTTTCTGACAGGCTCTGATGTGGGTGATTTCAACGGCGCCTGAATGCGGTGGTTTTGACACAGGGCGATAATCCTCCGAAGCACCTCCTCTATGAGCCATCGCTGCTTCGGCGGCAAAGTGCCAGCCAGCCCGAAAGGTTGCGGAGGGTGGAGGTGAAGCAGGCACGCACCGCGTCCCCCGTTCCCCAATACCCCCCTGCTGCAGCTTCTGCCCACCTGGCGCGCTCCAGATGCGCCAGACCACAACACCCATCATCCTCCATGGCCATGCTGGATGGGGACGAGGATGCTGCAGTTCCACACCTCTTGGGGGCGCGAGGCTGGCAAAGGCAGATGCAGCACCACTGACGTTCACAGCTGCTCTGCAGAATAGGAGAGGGTAGGTGTCTGCCCCGAGGAGCTTACAATCTAAAATTCAACACGGGAGAAGGCAGACGGTGGAGGCAGGGATAGGCAGGGAACTGGGGAAGTCACTTCAGTGGGACCCACTGGGTAAAGGACAGCTTGGGAGAGAAAGCCTGATAAAATACGCCTTCTGCCAAAGCGGGAAGAGATTTGCCGTCAGACAAACCTACTAAGAGGCTTCCAAGAGTATAAAGACAAGCTCAGCCACTTTCACTAGGCCAGCCAATGTTGCGGGGGGGGGGCGGCTTTGGATGCCACCCGGATGTGATGGGGAGCCCCTCCCTGCCCTCCCCTCGGGGCAGACACTCCCTGTGCTCTTGCCTAGAAGACTCACAGAGACCACGCGGTAAGTGCTAAAGCTGCCGCAGGAGAGCCGCGTTTCTTTCGAGAGGACACAAAGGGGGGGGGGCCCCCCCCGCTTGTGGTTCCTTTTTTTTTTTGGCCGGGGCTTTTTTTTTTTTTTTTGGTTAAAAAAAAAAGTGCAGGAACTCATGTCTTGGAGTCACACTTTTACACTAAAAAAGATTTTCAATTCACCAACTTTTTTTGAAATAACTTATTTACCTTTTGCACGTAGCCAGTCATTCTAAACACACTAAACGCAATGGCCGCCGCCAGCAGTAAGCACTCAGCGTGCGACCACACGACCGATCCCAAGCCGAGCAGCATCCCAAGCCGAGCAGCGCCCTCACAAGCAGCGCCGACACACAAGCAGCCCGCAGGCGGTTCAAAATCACTCCAATGGAAAAATCCGTCAAAAACAGGTGCCGGAACGCTGTTCCGGTGCATTTTGTGACAAAAAAGCCCTGTTCTTAGCGGTCCATGGAAGCAGCTGAGAACCAAGCCCACGGCTGCCCAGCAGCCTCCTCACCCTCTGCCACTGGGACTGCAACCCTGAGCACGTTTGCCTGGGGAGAACAAACTGGGGCCGAAGCCCAGGGAAGCCCGGAAGGGAGGTGGCTGCTGCTGCTGCTGTGGCAGCATCGTGAAAGGCCGATTATTCCCGTGGGTCATTGCTTTATTTTGTGAACTGCTTTAAGACGCGTTTAAGGCACGTGCTTTTTCCAAATTGTACGTCCAATAGGTGCATAAACAGGAATACTCCAGGCTGCGTCGGAGGGCGCTCCAGGAGCAGAGGTACAGCCTGGGGGACTGGCTATGCAATTTCAGCTCACAGGCCATCGCCCCTTAATAAGGCCTATAGGACAAGCCTAATGGAAAATTAAGCCCTGCAATATTTCCAGTGAGCACTGGCTTTTGTGAGGCTAGCCAGGGGCACGAGGAGCTGTGAGCTGTCCTGGTATTTGTGGCAAATTTGGCCCCAGCCCAGGTGTGATTTGGCCGCAACCTTGAAGGCTGGACAGCCGCACTTGCACCCCAGAGGAGCAGGCCTGGAACAGCCTGGAGCCCCGCTCAGCATGGCTGGCTGTGGCACCACATGTGCTGGCCCCATGCGCAAAACATGGGCGCACTCCAGGTTTCCAGTTCAAGGTTTCCAGACGAGGCAAATTATTGCTGTCACTGCCTCCATCTCCTCCCACTTTTCTTCCACTCACAAGGGACCCGGGGGGGGGCTTGCCAGGTTGCCCCCCTCTCCATTTTATCCTCACAATAATGACCCTGTGGGGTAGGTCAGGCTGGGAGTCACCCAGGGAGCTTCTGAGGGCGGGGACTAGAAGCCGGATCCGCACGTCTCGGTCCGGTATTCTACTCAAAACTGCACATCCGAGCTTCGTCAAAATAAGCAAGACAGAAAACCACGGCAGAGAGACCAGTGAGAAAAACTGAACAAATTGGCACATCAGGAAGATCACAAACACAGATAATCTGGGGGCTGAATACATTCCACGAAGAAAGCTTGGAAGGACCACGGGGCATGGCGGCGACACAAGCTCCGGCGGCCGTTGGTTGCCGCAGAACAACCGTGGGCAGGGGCCGCGTGCACAGGTCCCACTGGAGCGCGTCCCAGTGGAACATGCGAAGCCACCGTGAGGGAGCAGAGGGAGAGGCAGGGCCCTTCCACGTGCCTTGCCAGAAGGCTTTACCGCCCCCTCTTCCCTCCTCTTCGCTGCGCCTCGTGTGCTGCGCCTTTTCCGTGTGCCGGGTCGGAGCAGGGATTGCCTTGTTCTACCGATCACACGTAAGTCTCCAGGGAGTCTTTTCTGACCAAGCAGCAGAGCAAAAAGACATTCAACGAATCAATGCACTAATTAGCCACACTAACTAAAGGGAGTGGGGCTCCAGATGCCAGAAGCTGGGGAAAGACCGCGGGGAAGGCTGTGCCCTCCTGCCCTGCCTTTCGTTTTCTCCAGAAACACATGTCTGATCCCTCCTGGAAGCATACTGCCAAACAGGATGATCTGTGCTTGCCCTTGCCAGAAGAATCAGCTCTGTTTCGCGGTGGATTGGTGGAACATCAGCGCCCGAATCCCTGGGCAAGAGACTATCGTTCCACCAGCCTCTGGATTCCTGCAGGGGCTTGCCCCGCCAGTGCAGATGCTCAGGGACGGGCGCCGATGCACATGCACCACCCGCCCACACGAGAGGGAAGGGAAGGCAGATCGGCCAAGCCCTGCGGTTTACAGAACAACAACAGAACTGGCCAGCAAAACATGCCTGGGGGCGGAGGGGCTCCTAAAGCAGCCCTAATAAGGACAAACCATGGAATGACGGCTTTGACTGCTGGGCAAGCAAGCAGCAGCCACGGGAGATGGGGCGGAGCACGGCGGCCTGAGCAGCTCAAACGTGCGACGACTCGCCGCCATCTCACGTGGACTTCATCACCTGCACGAAGTCGGAGCTGCACGGTTCGCCCGTCTCCCGCGGCCCGGCATTCAGCCTCCGTGCGCTTACCCGCAACTCCTGGAGGAAGAGCTGCACCGGGTCATAATCCACCACGGGGAAAGCCGAGGTCTTCACCGCCGCATCGCTTCTCAGCATCCCCCGGCTGAAGGATTTGACCGGCCGGTCCACGGCCTCCAAGTGCCTGGGGATCTGCCTGGGGTTCAGGTGGATGAGGACATCGTAAGGGTCCAGCGGGGGGCGGAAGACCATCTGCGAGAGAGAGACCCGGGAATGTCAGGTGTGCCAGACAGGTGGAAGCCTGAAGGACACGAAGGAAGCCTCGAGTCGGCCTCTGCTCAGTAGGACGCGAGTGAGGCCCCAGCTAGCGATGCATGTTGCTGAAGAAAACCATTTCCCAAAAGCAGCAACAAGCAACCCTATCACCCAGGGCCAGGAGGACAGGAAAATGCCACCTGAAGCAATTCAGCCAGGTAGCCTTTTTTGACCTGCTGGCTGGAGCATCCTGGGAATTGTAGACCTTCTCCCTGTGTAAAAATATTGATTTATTTATTCAGCTTCCATTCCGCTATAACCTTCAAGTGGCATAGAAATGAAATAAATAACCAGTCCAAAGACTCTCTAAGCAGTTTACAGCAATTTTATATAAAATAACATCATAAAAGCAACATACAATAAAAGACTGAATATGCAGCTGAGGGGTGAAATATCAATAACTTAAAATATATTAAGACTAAAAGCAGTATAAATAACATCCAAAGATAAAATCAGTCATTAAAACGCCTGGAGAAGACGACTGTTTTCGCCTGGCACCAAAAAGTTTACTACGATGGTGCCAGGCAAACTGCTTTTGGAAGGCCATTCCATAAATGGGGTGGGGGGAGCACCCCGTTACCATATTTAGAAACCTGTTATTGAATACCTTTTAATAAAAGGAGAGGGGTGTGAACCACCACAAGAGTCAATGCAGTTCTGGAAGGGAAATGGGGAAACCTGAATGAATAAATGATCTTACATGAAGTAATTAGAGTCGTTGGCCCTGGTGGCGGTAGCACGGATGTTGGTTCGGTTGCCATTGCTGTTATTGTGTTAATTGTATTGTTTTTCTTACTTGTCATAAGAATAAAAATAAAATTGAAAAAAGCTTAAAGGAAAAAAAGAGAAGAACCCCTCTTCCTTTTGCCATCCTCTTTGTCTCCTTATAGGACGGATCTCTCAAAAGCACCTCCTCACCACATCTTAGGGACTGGGTAGGTAAATATGGAAGCAGGCGATCCTTCCATTAAGTATGCCTAAGATTGCACACTTAACAGTGTAAAAATAAGCTGTAAATTTAAAACTTGCTTGGAGCTGTAAGTTTGACACCATCTGCCCAAGCTCGAGGAGGAACGAGTTGGTTGGAAAACAACCCATAATGGATTGGAATTGTTTCTGGGAGCATCATGGAAAAGATGAGGAATGTGCGGTGCCAAATGCGCAAGGCAAGCGCGGAAAACCTTGCTTTTCAGCTGGCACACCGACAGAAGGGCTCAGAGGCCAAAGCATAGCCTGCCACCTGCGCATGAACCACCCAAACCTTTCTTATGCAACCTGTGCGCTGACATGAGTCAACGGTCAATCACAGCTCTGTTCAGGTAACGCTCCTCGTGCAAAACTGTTCTCCAACCCTTTCATCTCCCAGCAGTTTCTTCTAAACAAATTTAGAATCTCATTACAAGAGGGATGTAGCCTGGTTGGAATCGGTGCAGCGAAGGCCACTAGGATGGTGGCTGGTTTGCAGGGGAAGCCAGATGAGGCGAGACTGAGGGAACTGGGTCTCTTCAGCCTGGAGGAGACTCAGAGGGGATCTGTTGCGACATACAGGTGTGTGAGCGGGTGTCACATGGAGGTGGGTAGAGGCCTGTTCTCCCCTGCAGAGGAAGGCAGAACGGAGCAAAGCTCAGGGAGCCAAGGTTTCGTTTGGATGCCAGGAAGCACTTCCTGACAGTCAGGACCCCGAGGGTATGGAATGGGCTTCCACAGGAGGTGGTTGAGGCCCCAACAGTGAGAGTATTTAAGGACAGGCCGGACATGCACATGGTAGGCATATCATGGGTGGAGCTGGCTGGAGCTGGGGGTCAGTCTAGATGGCCCAGAAGACCCCTTCTGACTTGCTCTGTTTCTATGTTTCTAAATGGATCTTTAAATGGAGTGGCTGATTTCACCTTGTTATCAACAAGGTTTGGCTTTTTTAAAGCCATCTACTACACTAGTAAAATATTCACCCTGACAGCCACTGGTAAGGAGTAGTTTTTACTGAAATATATATATATGTATGTATGTATGTATAGGGACAAAGCAAAGCCTGAGAGAGAGAGAGAGAGAGAGAGGGAGAGAGGGAGAGAGAGAGAGAATCGGGACAAAGCAGAGCCTGAGAAGCCTGGCACTCACATTTAAGCACACAGTAGCAAAGCCAGGGGTCAGATCCAACCTGTCCCAGGAGAAACAGAAGTCGGAGAGGTGCAGACAAGAGAGGACCCGGTTCCATAACCATGTGCCACGTCCCACCAGGCGCTGAGGCCACGCCCTGCTCTGTGCGCATGGAAACAGTCCTGTCCAGACAACCTGCAAAGCCAGGCTGCCAGTCCGTGTCGGCAATACCGAATTCGATGCAGCCCAAGAAGGAACCCGCGTCCCTAATGCTGCAAAACCCTTGCGGCCCGTTCCTCTTCGTTTCAGGTCAGCACCCGCGGGCCCCAGAGCTGCAGTAATGCAGGGTCCCGTAACCCATGCCAGGAGGGACAGCAGTACCTCAGAAGCTGTGCTCTGTGACTACTGGGCCGGACAGCCCTCCATCCCCCATAATCTTCACCTGGGAGTCCGGGGACAAAATCAAGGGGTGCAAATTATGAGCTGGATCCGAGGCAAGAGCAGGCGAAGGATCCGAGGCAGTGCAGGGGGCCCGGTTGGTCATGGCCAGGCCTGTGTGTACCCTTTGCAGGATCAAAGAAACAGAGCAAATCAGGAGGGACCTCCCTAGTCTGACCCCCAGCTCTGCTCATGACATGCCTAGCAGGTACATGTCCTGCCTATCCTGGAACATAAGTGGCTGAAGCCCCATCAGTGAGGGTGTTCAGGGATAATATCAACCCATGAAATTCTGCAGCCAGACAATCCAAATTCTTTGGTAAGAAAAGCATGTTCAAGCACATTTTCTCCAACTATTCTGCTACAGTTGTAATTTTTAAATGAAGCTGAGATTCTTCAGAAAGTGGATTCTTAGGAAGTGTTTGAGAGGTAAGCCCTTTTCCATGGGATTTTTAAAAAAGGAAAGTTGCAAAAAGCTACAAAACCGATTTGCTCTGTGCTGAGCAGAATCCACCCAAGTTCCCTTTACCAAGAACAGATACCGGGGCTTGCGACCCTTTCGGCACAACGCTTAGTGCCCGTTTTGCTGACTCAGGGTGAGGTGTGAAACCACACTGCCTCCCATGTACGCAGATCTCCCAGAAACGGAAACCCGAGCATTAGATGCAGCTCGGCCGACGCATGGGATCCAAGCGCAGCTTGCCCCTTCACGCTGCCCACAGCTGAGTCACGCGGGAGCAGATGGTTCATGGGAGCTCCGTCATCCAAGGAGCACAGATTCACAGCCCCGGCCTCCAAAACCAGAACGAGAGAAGCCCCAGATCGCTGCTGCAGCTGCATAACCGATTCAGGAAACACGGCCACCCTCCCCCAGATGCACTAAACGCACCAAGTCATGCTGACCGGGATATCCGAAAAGAGCATCGTGGTCAAAGCAAACATGCTGATGCTCCCATCCGTGTCGCAGAACACATGCCAGAGAAGATCTTTACAAGGCCACCACCGAGTTTCATAACCAAAGAAATGATCCGGACCATCTGCAGCAGGCGCCCACCACGCTCCCACAAGGTACACTCAAGCCTGCAACTTACAAAAGTTGGCTAGAATGGCAATGCTTTCGCTGTCTCATGAAAAACACGTTGTATTACACGCGCTCGCATGGATCGCTGCTATGTGCCGTCAAGTCGTCCCCGGCTGGTGGCAGCCCCATGAGTGAAGCGCCCACAACAGCCCCCTGCAGCTGCCTCTACGGATTCGGCCCATGCCATGCTTGCTCTTCCTTTTCTGCCTTCGCCTCCGAGTTTCTTTAGCACGAAGCGTCCTTATGCATTCATGTGTTTCACTGTTTGTATACAGGCCCATTGACACAGGCTCTGGCCAGTTTACAAGGGATTGGAAGCAACAAGAGCTACAATCTCAACGAAGAACAAGCACATTAAGTAACGCTGACCTGGGAAGGCCTGGCGGAAGAGGCACGTCTTTCGCTCCCTCTCAAAGGCAGCGGACTGGATACTCGAGCCGCCTCTCCCGCAGGCCGTCCCACAGTTCAGGGGCAACTCTGGGGAACAGGCATTAGTCCTACAGAGGAAAACCTCAGGAGATCATCCCCAGATGACCTTAGCAGGTGAGGCGGAATGTATGGGCAAAGGTGCTCCTGAAGGTATTTCGGACCCGAGCCATGAAGAACTTTGCATCTATACCGGCAGATTTCGATACCATCGACCATGGTATCCTTCTGGATAGGCTAAGGGGGCTGGGAGTAGGAGGCACTGCTTGGCAGTGGTTCCGCTCCTACCTCGACGGCCGATTCCAGAAGGTGGTGCTGGGGGACTATGGCTCTGCGCCATGGCAGCTATCCATGGGGTTCCACAGGAGTCTATTCCGTCCCCCTTGCTCTTCAACATCTACATGAAACCGCTGGGAGAGGTCATCCGGAGGTGTGGGCCGCGGAATCATCAGTACGCTGATGATACCCAGCTCTACCTCTCGTTTTCCACCAATCCAGGTGAGGCAGTGGCTGTGCTGAACCGGTGCCTGGCCGAGGTAATGGGCTGGATGAGGGTCAATAAACCAAAGCTCAATCCAGACAAGATGGAGGTCCTGCTGGTAGGTGGTTCGAACTCCTGGGTAGGTGACTTGGATCTTGTCCTGAATGAGGTTGCACTCCCTCTAAAGGACAGGGTCCGCAGCTTGGGAGTGCTCCTCGACCCGGAGCTGACTTTGGAAGCTCAAGTGTCGGCGGTGGCGAGAAGCGTTTTCCATCAGCTTCGGCTGATCCATCAGCTGCGTCCCTACCTGGAGGACGACTACCTAGCGACAGTGACGCATACATTGGTTATTTCCCGGTTGGATTTCTGTAATGCGCTCTACGTGAGGATGCCCTTGAAGACAGTCCAAATACTTCAGATGGTGCAAAACAGAGCAGCCAGGTTGCTGACGGGGACTGGGCGTTACTCTCACATAACCCCAGTCCTCTACCAGCTTCACTGGCTTCCCATCGAAGTCTGGGCTCAATTCAAGGTGTTGGTTATCACCTTCAAAGCCCTTATCAGCTTGGGACCTGGATACTTGAAGGCACGCCTGCTTCCACATTTGCCCTCCCGCCCCTTGAGATCGGCAGCAGAGGCCCTCCTCCGGGAGAGACATCAGGAGGCAAAATACCCAGAGGAGGGCCTTCTCTACGGTGGCGCCCCATCTATGGAATGAGCTCCCTAGAGAGGTCCGCCTGGCGCCATCGTTATTTGTTTTTCGGCTCCAGGCTAAGTCCTTTTTATTTCAACAATATTTAAACAATGTTTAATATTATCTATAGGTTTTAACTTCCAGCCAGAATGAATTGGGGGTTTTAATTTGTGTAATTTGTATTTTTTGTACTTGTATTGAGCACTATGTTGTCTATTTTTGTTTATTTATGCAAGCCGTCCCGAGGCAGTAAGCAATGGGGCGGCATATAAAAACTCCAAATAAATAAATAAATGATCGAGCTATCTATCCTGCCTTTTCTTCCCTCCTGCAAAAGGACCCAACGATTCCTTTTATCCTCACAACAACCCTGTGAGGGAGATTGGCTGAGAGTCTGCGACTGGCTCGAAGTCACCCAGCTGGCTCCACGGCCCGGCGGGGACAAGAGGCCAGATTTCTCAGGTCCCCAGTTCAGTGCTCTCGATACCACACACATCATCCCCTCTCTCAGGGGATGGAGGTGCCCAATATTAGCACAGCCACTGAGAGGGGCCTGCCTCTTGCCCTCATCAGCCGGGAGCCCTAGCTGGGCTGCACAGACAAAAGCGTCTTTGCTTTCGATTGCACGGGACAGGCACGCTGCTGATCCTCCAGGTATCCAAGCTATTTGGGGCATTATAGGGCAAGCGACAGGAGGGAGGCGAATTCAAGCGCGTTTGGCAGGACATACTGTGCAGTTCTTAAAAAATCCCTTTGAACAACCCGAAGTAGTTGTGCCAGATGCAGTGGTGCCTCGGCTCACAAACTTAATCCGTTCCAGGACTCTGGTCGTGACCCGAACTGGTCGTGAGCCAAGTCAAATTTCCCCATAAGGTTCAATGCAAATAAGGTTAATCTGTTCTGTAACCATTTTTTCACTCAGAAAAACGTGAAGCAGAGTGAAAAAGAACAAAGATCGCGGCCATGTCCCCCGCAACCTCCAGCATGAGCGCGGCCATCTCCCCGCACGCCCAGCACGACCGCGATTGAGCCTGTCATCCCTGCACACACCGGTCGTCCTGACGCGCTGGGGCGGGGGGAGAGGGGTGCAAATGCAGGTGCGCTGGGGGGGGTAGATGGCCGCGCTCGTGCTGCGGGGGAGATGGCCAAGATCGCGGCTGTGCTCCTGCAGGAAAGAAGGGCGCGATCGCAGCCATCTCCCCACTTGAGATGGGGTGGGGAGATGGCCACGATCATGGTCGCCACCCAATGTGGAGTTCGCAACCTGAGTTAAAATTTTATGAAATTTTAGCTCGCGGTCCGATTTGGTCGTGAACTGAAGCGTTTGTGAGCCAAGGTACCACCGCATATGGAAACACAAGGTGCTAAGTGAAGCACCGCCAGCCACTGGAAGGATTATTCACCAGCTCTGTGGTCTTCGGCATTTCTGCCAGTGGCTTCCTACAAATGGTCGAGCACAAGGACTAGAAACCTACTTCAGAAAGCAAGCGAGCAAGCGAATTTGCTTAACCTCCTCCAGAAGCTGATTCTGCAGCTTTTCAGTGACAATGGAACAGGTACACAGCCAAAAAAGAAACCTGACAGATTAGAAAGGGTTGCAAGATCACCTTTGCACCGGAGAAGTGACCAGGACAGGCGCTGGCTAACAGGGCGACCTGTGGCTGACCACTCGGCACACACCCTGCCCTCCAGGCACCTTCCTGCCAGGACATTTAATTTCCAGCTCCACAGAGACCGTTTTCTTCAAATGAGCCCTCCTGCGGGGACCACCAGGGCTCGGGGGGGGGCTCTGGGTTGGCCAACTCCAGCAAGCTGACACCACAGGAGAGGTGAAGGAGCATTCCTGGCCCACAGCCAGGCCAAGAAGGGGGCAGAGGGAGCCCCCCGGCACCCATGCACAGCCGAGCTCTGTGCCGCAGCCCTCGCCACCCGGGGCACCGTCCACCACGGGCAGAGCAGCCCAACAGGAGTGCGCAAAGGGATCCCGCCTTCCTAGGCTCGTGCTCCCCCCAAAACAAAATCCAGACACCCCGCCCCCCCAGCTGGAGACCAATGCTCTTAATGAAAGCAACTCGTCTGCCAAAAGCTTCAGGTCATTGGCAGAATTAAACACCACCATCGCGATTATCTTTTCCTTCTCTGTTCTACAAGAAGTTGCGAAAGAATCTTTCCACCCCTCACCCAAGAAATAATAATTGCTATCATCATCATCATCTTCAGTTTTATTTCTATACTGCCCCTGTAGCCAAAGCCCTCTTGGTGGCTTACAACCGTCCATAAAAACAATAGAATACAGTACAAATTCCCTACACAGCCTCTCACCTTGTGGGCCACAGCTTTGCGTCTTCCCATCTAACCAGTCGACACCTGCAGCCTTAGCAAGGAGACCCTGCTCCCCCCTGCAGCCGGCCTTGCGAGGCAGCCCACCCTCCTTCCCATTTTACAGCGGTGTAAAGGCAGCACAGTTGCCGAAAGGGCTCATCACGGAGCAGGACGCTGAACCCAGGTCTCTGCGGAGCAGGTCCGCCCCTGCTCCCCGGGGCTTGGCTTGGCAGTCTTACCTTCACATCCTGGCCTCCCAGGGGGTCCATCAGCTGCTCCTCCAGAGCCCGGAGAGACTCCAGAGCCAACACCAGGAGTCGCTGCAGGATCTGAAGGGAGGGAAAGCTTTAGAAAGGGGAGAACTCACGGGGCGCTGGCCCATGCCCTGGCCACCCTTTTTTTACTCATCGAATGTCCAAGATGATGCACAACATAATCATCACAACATCACATAAAACACAAACATGCAGGTGCAACAAAATCAAACCTGAGGGCAGAATTCACACTGAAGAGTAACAAGGGGTGACACGACACTGAGACCAGCAAGGGGCCCTGGAGCTGGATCAGGTCCAGGCCCGCCTCATCCCACATTCTGTTTACACCGTGGCCAGTCAGCTGCCCAGAGGGTCCCACAAGCAGCACCCCCCGCCCATGTTCCCCAGCAACGGGTGTCCAGAGGCATGCTGTCTCTGCTCTGCTACTGGAGGTCACGCAGCGTCATGAGGACTAGTAACCCTGGTCAACCACCGCACTCCTGACAAGTGTGCAGCCTCCACGTTGAGCAAGGTGCCAGCTCAGCCGCAAGCAGCGCACGCTGCAGTCACCCACGCAAGACCCGCCCAGAAGCCTGGGAGAAGCCCACACGCTTTCTGCAACACGGCAGTCTTGGGCACGCTCTCATTTCGCGGGAGAACCTGCACGGCGAGAGGTGGCAAGTTCTGCAGGCACGCTCAGCGGGGCCCTGCGGAAAAGGGTGGCCCGAACGGTCCAGGGGCCGGAGCAGCTCCCCAGAGAGGAAAGGTGGCAACAGGTGGGTCTCGTTGGCCTGGGAGAAAGGTGAGTGAGGGGGACACGGCCGAGGCGTGGAAACCCATCACGGTGCAGGGAAAGTGGACCGGCAGAGGTCTTTTCTCCGTCTCCTGCAATCCTGGAACGCCAGCAGGGTCAGCCCCGGAAGCTGTTATGGGGGAGGTTCCGGAGAAACAGAGGGGAGGCCATCCCCACACCGCACAGAGCTAAACCCTGGAATTCCCCCCGCAAAAGACGGGGCGATGGATGCTCGCTTGGACGGCTTGACCGGGGAACTGGAGAAATGCATGGGGGAGGAGGCTGCCCAAGGCCAGGGTCCTCCCAGGCTACTGAAATCCGGCCCTTCACCCCGCAGGGCCCGTGCAACGGCCGCCGTGGTGCTGAGCGAGCATCGTTCCAGCCAAAGGAAAAGCCGGGGTGCTTCAGGGGCAGCCGGGGGGACCGCCCCGAGGCCGGGACGAGGTGCGACCTGCCCAGGCAAGGGTGGCTCACCTGTGCTGAAGGCCTCGCCTGGGTCCACATGGAGCGCCGCTGATCCCTGGGGGTGGCGATGAACATGACCGGCAGCCGGGGCCGGGCCGCCACGAAATGGTTCCTGATCTCCACGGAGTCGGCGTCTGGATGCAAAAGACCCAAAACACGCCCCGTCAGGCGCTGCGGCAGAGGCGGCGGCTCCGTGGAGCAACGCTTCCTGGGGTGCTGCACCTCCAGCAATCAGGGCGAGACAAAGGGATGGGGAGGGCCCCCGGGGGCCATGAAGAGTGTTGCCTGGGAGGCAGGCAGGCAGGCCTGGGAAAGATTCTGGGCTGAATCTCTGCCTCTCAGCGAGAATGCTGAGCTAGAGCTACAACACAGCGCGAAGTGCCAGCCGGTGTCGCTCTGCCCCATCGCCGTGGTCATCCACCACCGGGTGGAGTGGTCAGAGCGCTGGCTCGAGTCCTCACTCAGCTTTGGAGCACACGGGGTGACTTCAGGCCAGTCACGGACTCTGAGCCTAACCTCCCTCACAGGGTTGTTGTGCGGATGAAACGCAGAGGCTGGAATCTGGCAAGCTGCCGTGGGTTTCTTGCAAGAGGAAGAAAGGTGGGGCACGGATGTGACGAAGACACAGGCACTGCGTTCCTGGACCGTGCTCACGGCAGCCTGCCCCTGCCAGCCAAATCCCAAGGCACGAGGTGGAAGCTGCCGGCTCCCCTGGCAGAGTACAAATGCGCTCTGTCGTGGGGGCAAGCAGAAAGAGGCGCGGGGCAGCCATTACACCCCCCGAGCCAGGAGGGGCCTGTTTGCGGCCCTCCAGAGCGGACGAGAGATGCGGCCACAGGGCAAGATGGACGGCTGAAGTCCTGGCCAGCTGTCCTGACCCAAGAACCGAGTGCAGACAACATAAGCCCCGTTCAAGGGCTGAGCACGGGCTGAGCATGGCTTGCTGCAGAACTGTGGGTGGTGTGAGAAGCACAGGCTCCTGTGTGGCTTGAATCCAGCTGAGCTGAGTGGTGGTGAACAAGCCAGAGCTCACAGCCCAACAAATAGCCACAGGTTCCTGCCACGGGGTGTTAAGCTATTCACGTTGCACCGATCTGCAGTTCAAAGGCAACCTGAATCTAGCATGTTTTCAAAAAAGAGGAAATTTCTGTACGGCACTGAATTCCGCAACCCTTAACAGCGATGTGTATCACTCACATCTGCACACATCTTCCTTTGAATAGTTTACTCTGCTCGCTAAGCACAGGGAGCAGTCAAGAGAAGCAGGGTGCCAAAGGCCTGCCTTCTGGACCTTGAGAAACTGGAATCAACCACCTCGCAGCCTCAGATTCCACCACATCCTTTCCAGCCACGAGGGCCAGAACCTTAGTAAAAGCAAACGCTAAAATTTGTAGGAAGCAAAATTCTGCACCAAAACAAGCACAGACCTGAACTAGGTGCTCAGGTGCACCGCGTGAGCTCCAGGGAAACTGTCTGAAAATTGAAGAATGTTGCTGCCTTCCTCTGAGTCGTCTGGGGCTACCTGGCCTGCAGTCACATCTCCCACAACGAACCCACTTTGGGCCCGCAGAGGTGGGCCAAGCGAGATAACCTTTGCCCCTGCCTGTCTCGGAATCTGACAACAGACCTGTGCTGCCACTCCTTGATCTACCTGCACAGGAAGGTGAGGGAGTCTTCTCCTAGAAGCACCATGACAAAATTTAAATTAATTTAAGGAAAGGTGCAATCTTATGCACCTTTAGACAGTCACCTGACTCTTTGCAAAGGGGCCTCCCTTTACAAAGCTAATAAACATGCCTCGTTTTGCTGGAAAAGTGCCCCACTTCCCCAAGCCTCTCTAAATAAGATTATTGGTTTCATTTTCCCATGAGAACAATTTGGGTACCGAGAGTCTAAGACAAGCAGACCTGCAAGGTTTTCAAAGCTGGCGAGAGACGCCTGCATGTTGCACATTCAGCCTCGAGAAGAGAAGGCTGGGGGGGGGGGGACGTGGTATCATTCTAAAAGCACCTCCAAGGCTGCCACAAAGAGGAAGGCCAGGATCTCTTCTGGCTGATCCCAGAGTGCAGGACATGGAATAATACACCCAAGTTGCAACAACCCAGATTCAGGCTGGACATCAAGAAGAGCTTCCTCACAGTCAGAGCAGTGCGGCAGTGGGACCGGCTGCCTGGAGAGGTGGGGGCTCTTCCACACTGGAGGCATTCAAGGAGAAGCTGGGCAGCCCTCTGAGTGGGATGGTGTGACTTGGTGCCCTGCAACAGCAGGGGGTCCAACCGCCTGCCCTTCGTGGCCCCTTCCAACTTCACAAGTATTATTCTCTGATTGTATCCCCACAAAGATAATCATGGTTTGCTGCCAGCTACGAATCACAAGGAAGCTGTGGTTTGTTGTCCATCTGAAGGTGGGCTTATTTAAATCGCAACTTCTTGTGATTCTGGACCCCTTTGTGATTGTGAATCTGGACGCCACAATTTAAGAAAGATGCAGGAAAATTAGAAAGGGTCCAGGGGAGGGCAGCAAAAATCATGTGGGGTTTGGAAACACGGCCCTGGGAGGAGAGACTGAGGGAACTGGGCATGTTCAGCCTTGAGAAGAGAAGGCTGAGGGGGGACATGGTGTCCCTCCAGAAGTCCCTCAAAGGCTTTCCCAAAGGGGAAGGTCAAGATCTGGCTGATCCCAGAGTGCAGGACACGGAATAATCAGTTCAAGTTGCGACAACACAGATTCGGGCTGGACATCAGGAGAAGCTTCCTCACTGCCAGAGCGATACAGCAGTGGAACCAGCTGCGTGGAGAGGTGGGGGGCTCTCCCACACTGGAGACATTCAGGAAGAAACTGGGCAGCCCTCTGAGTGGGATGGTGTGACTTGGTGACCTGCAGCAGCAGGGGGTTGGACCCGATGGCCTTCATGGCCCCAATTCTACTCTTCTATGGCCTGAGGTTTATGCCTCCTTCTCCCAGCTCTTTGGAGAGCAAGCCTGAGGAACGGCTCTGTTATCCTGCTATTCGCATGAATCTCCTCTGTCCAAAATCCGGAAAGGACCTCAGAGGTTTGCCGTGAAGTTGGGATGTGGCAGCCACACCAACAACACCGCAGGGGTGCTTTGCAAACAGGAAACTACTCCAGATACACAAAATGTCTGGCTGGAGGGAGTTGAAACAACGACTGTTCTTGCCTTGAACTGCGGACAAGATTTGCAACCCAGATAGATGGGGGGCAGCCCCACCTCCAAACGGCCACGGCCACTTCTCCCCAGCCACTAATCGCTTGGTGGTTTTCCAGCTTTTGAACAGCTCTCCCCCCATTGCTAAAGGCTGGAAGCCTGTTATGGCTTAGTTGCTGGCAGTAAAGATCGAAGCCTGAATGCCTGCTATTTGGGGGCCCGTCCCTTTTGCCCACACCAGTTGCCTCTGGACCCAGCAGAATGCAACCCTGACAACAGCCCCAGAGCTGAATTTGCCCCATGGATTAAAAGAATTCCCCGCCCCACAGTGTGAGCACGACCTGCTTTAATAAAGACAAATTTTATTCTGTATAGACCTCTTGTTCTAGTTTTCGCCTGGCTGGTTTTTATTGATAAGGAGATTATGTAGAATGGGCAAAGCCATGGATGTTGCGTTTTCCTTTGTTTTATTGTAAAACTGTCCCGAGACTATTTGGTAGCAGACAATATAGAAAAGCTTTGAATAAATAAATAAACCAGTGAGCACTCGGGTGCAAATAAGCAGGAAAACCCCCATGAACGGGTAACTCGTTGCATGAATGGTATGTATCAATCACTGGCAGAAAAAGATGAATTCTCAGCGATGGAAAAGGCATTTGCAAGCAACTTCATAGAAAGCCTAGACTGAATATCGTTGTTTTGTATTAAGTGGAGAAGCTGCCCAGATTTTATAAGAATCCCTGCAGAGGATTTTCTGGAATTTGAACCCACCAAAAGAGAGATGAGAGAAATCCTGGTTCTTACCAGAACCTAAAGGTTTTTTTCTTTTTTTTAAGGCAAGGTAAGGCACCACCCCTACTAAGAACCTGCAGAACCATGCTCCTCTGCAAATCTGACCACGGAAGATTTTAAAATGACAAAAAATCTGTATACATTTGGGGCAATTTTTTTAAGCTGGCCCAACAGTAACAGTCCCTCCATTCAGAGCTCACTGTTCAAATTCTAAGGGAAAAAAGCAGAAAAAGCAAAAAGGGCTTGAGAGAGAGGCCGGAACTGCCACAGGTTTCCCGGAACAGCAGCAGGAGGGCTGAGGGGCAAGGGGAGGAAACCCACCGCTGAATCCCCTGGGCAAGAACCAGCCCACCGTGGCTTGTGGCAAAGCTGGGTTAGGTGGAGGTACAAACCGCCAGCTGCCTCCGTGGTTACAACACAAGCCGACTCATCAGGCGCTATTTTTGGCTGGAATGATGAACTTCCAAAAAACTAGGAGGTCCGATGCTTTAAGCAACCCTGTTTCTAAGAAGGCTAATCTGTGGTAGGTTCAGGACAGGCACTTCCTCACAGAGCTCATAAATTAATGATCTGCTTCGCTAGGGCAAGATGTTGCAACCGCCGCTGCTTCCAGCCAAGCAGACCGGACTGAAGTCACGTCGCTTTGGAAAAGTGTGTTAATATCACTCCTAAAGAAGCTTCCATGCCAGCATGCGCTTCCCATGACACTTTCCAGATTAAAACTGCTCTGGGGAGGCCAATTTAAATTGATCCCGATATGGAGGCTTCAACTTTACCCACCCAAACACACCGCTGTGGTCCCAATCCTGCTCCACAGCGAGATGTTGGCACGTATTTATTTATTTGGGATATTTCTAGCCCGTCCAATTGTTCTGGGCCTCTGGGTGACTCACAGCACACCTGATTCACAAATATTCTGCCCCCAAGAGCAGAAAATTTCTTTTTAAGGACTTGGGAAATTTGAAAGAGAAACTGGGGAGCTGCTAGTCAAAACTTGAACGGCCACCCACAGCGCTCATGGGCTGGATCCAGTCTTGGCCATGCTTAGAGTGGCCCCACCAACATCAATGGAGCTTAAATTAGTCACGGTGAAATTCCATGGAATTCAATGGGCCTAGTTGAAATGGGCTGCAGGAGAGCATAAGAAAAAACACGGCGGGATGGACCAAGGGACCAAGGTCCTGCTTCCACCGCAGGCCAACATTGGCCTGTGGAAAGAAAGCCACCAGGACGGTGTGCACGCAACAACACCATGCTGCCCATCTTCCCCAGCAATCGACACATATGGAACCCTGTGATAATGATGGGCACCTACAGCCGTCAGCGCTGGCAGCCACTCACAGCCTGTTCCCCAGGCAACGTGTCCCAAGTCCCTTTAAAGACATCGAAGCTGGTGGCCGTCACTCAATCATGGAGCTCACGGGGTGACTTTGGGCCAGGCACAGCCTCTCGGCCTCACCCGCCCCACAGGGTGGTTGTTGTGGGGAGAAAATGGAGGGGAAGAGAATCCTACGAGCCAGCCTGGTGAAGGAAGAGGCGGGCTAGGAACGTCATCTTGCACTATTAAGAACAGCAGCGGCAACAACAGCAGCGACAGCCACAGTTTAACTTTGCACTGGGTGAGGTTCTTCCTTTTATCTGTCCTAAACCTCCCACCAAGCAGCTCCGTGGAGGGACCCGGGGCCCAAATGCTGGGGAAGAGGGAGAGAAATGCCCCCACTCCATTTTCTCCACGCCAGGCCTCTTTCTCCACCTTCTGCCCTGTCTCACCTTCCATTCCTGCTTTTCAGGCTACGCAAGCCCAGCTGAGGCGGCCTTCCCTCGCAGGGGAGGTGCTCCGACTCCTTTGTCATCTGGCTGCCTTTCTCGGCACTTTTTCCAACCCAATTAATGCCTCTTTTCGGGTCACGGCAGCTCTAATTACCCATTAATGTCCTTTTTCAGGTACAGCGATCAGAACTGTACACAACATTCCAAGTGTGGCCACACCAGAGAGTTCGCTCTGGGCAACGCAGTTTTGGATCCAGCCCATGGAATCTCCCGCAATTAATCAAAGACGCGGAAGAAACCAAGAAGCTGGGTATGCGCGCCCCCTCCGCAGGAGTCCTCAGGAGGAGGGGGGGGATTCTTGGGTAAATCCTGCCATCCAGCATGCTCCGGCACCCAGGGAGGAGAGGCGCATCATATGCTGGCCCCTCCCTGGGGCTACCTGAGACAGGGAACGTGGTGGCAGTGCTCCAGGATGATGGGATGGCCCTGGCCCCAGGGAGGGATCTTCCTGAGGACAAGGCAGGTGCTCTCTCTGGACAACCCTCCTTCCTGCCAGTCACTTTTGCAGAGGAGGCACCCGGAAAAGGACCCGGTTCCATCCTGAACTTTTCCAGGACTCTCTCGGGACCCTGAGATCCCACCAGGAGCAAAGGCAGACCAGGGAAGTGGAATCTGGCCCTCCAGATGCTGTAGACTACAGGCACCTTCAGCCCCAGCTAGCATGTCCAGGGGCTGGGGATGATGGGCAACATGTGGAAGTCCACCGGCTCCCCATCCCTGGGGTAGACGACGCTGAATTCAAGCGACCAGCGGCTTTGCTCTGTATACAAGGATTAAGAATGTAAGACACCCCGAGACATTTGTAGGGACAGAAAAGCTTTCAATCAATAAATAAAATGTAAGAGGCGTCCTACTGGATCCGACCAAAAATCTGGATCTGAGTCATCAAGGACATAAAAGCAATCCTGCAGGACCTGGCCCTGGTTCAACATTCTGTCCCCGCAGAGGCCAACCAACTGCCCTCAGGAAACATACAAGCGGGAAGAAACGTGGCCTGCCCTCCCGCCTGCATGACCCCACAAGTGGCATGCTTTATCTCTGCATCACAGATGTCGGGGTGCAAAATAAATTGGGGCTGCCCCCCCACCTCATCATGCCCTGCCTGCAAGCCTCCACCACCCCTGGGGTTGCCTTTTCTTGGAGAGGGAACAGGTAAGCCAGCAAGCCAATGGCTACATTCAAGAGAGAGAGAGAACATAAAAGGATTATATTCGCTTAGGGTGCGGCAAACATGGTAAAATTAGCCATCCTTTAAAACAAAAGAAGCAGGAAGCTTTTTAACGGTACAAATCGGATGACAAGCCACCTGGCTCGGCTACAGGGATCAGGTAACGAAATTCCTTGGAAACAAGGTGTGAGGATTCAGGGAGTATCAACGGAGAGCCGGCTGCTTTTTGTTCCTTCTGAGGTGAGTGCGCACCTTCAGGAGAGAAAGCACACGCTCCTCTGACCCTCCGCCATTCCTCTCCCTCAGACCCAGCTTACCTTTGAGCTCCGCGTTCAGGTTCACCACGAGGGGGCTGTTCTTCCAGTCGAAGGTGGTGAGCAGGTGAAGGAAGCGAAGGAAGCCCACCTGGGGAGAGCTGCGGGAGGGGGAAAGGCGTGAGACCGAGCGGAGGTGCCGCACACACCTACACACGGCCCTGCCACAAACAGCGCCTTGCGATTACGGGAGCATAAAAAGACACACACTTACACCGACTCGCTACCTGCTCCCAGGTAAGTGCAAACCAAATCGCAACGGTCCTATAGATCTCCAGATGTTTTGGACATGCTCCTCCCCATGTTGGCTGGGGACGATGGGAGCTGTAGGCCAGAACATGTGGAGCACCGCTCACCCCTGGAAAGACCCAGGAAAGGGAGAAATCTCCTCCTGTGATTCCCCCTTTTTTCCATCTAAGGGCAAGACGGAGACCCCTTTGATGGGAAGATTATGGGAGAGAGCAAGTGACGGACAGACCCCACACGGACATGCCGCCTTCGCCCCGTTCACGAGCCAGTGACGGTGCCGCGGAAAGAGACAGGTCCGGGCTGAGTATGGCTGCCGTCTGGACCCACTAACTGAATGGGCCTGACTTCTGAATAGATTTGCGAGCGCTGCGTTGAGAGCCTGCCTTTTGCCTCTTGTGAGGAACCCGGTTCACCTGGCGCTGCTCCGTTTCGCTGCCCATGTCCCGGACTGGCACACCAGCCACCCGGCCACGCTGGCTCTCCTGCATGCACTCAGAGTCACCTCCGTTCCCGCCGGACGCAAAGAGCAGCTGGAGTCCCATTCATGTCAATGGATGGGACTCCAGTGGCTAGCTTACAGCACAGCCCTGTGCCTGGCTGCTCACACGGTGCGTTCGATGGGGCGTCCTCCTGGGTAAGCACACACAGGATTGCGCCCTTAATCCAGATCCACTCAGAAAGCCTGTCTTGGATTAAGGGAGGCTGGGTTCAAATCCACCCACCCTGCCGCCTCGGGCCCCATCTTTATGGCAGGGATGTGGAACCTATGATCAGATCTTGGTGGACTCCGACTCCCATCAGCTCAAACCACAATGTTCGATGGTGAGGGGCAATGGGATCTGTAGTCCGGACCACGTGGCAGGCCACCAATCTTCCTGGCCCTGGTTCAAAGTAACTGCTGCCTATTCCAGCTTTCCCTGGCTCAGCCCCCTCCAAATGTGGTGGGTTACAACGCCCTGCATGCTGGATGGGGATGCTGGGCACCGAAGTCCCACAGACCTGGGAAGCACCTGATTGAGCAGGACTAACCTACCTGAAGACTATGTCACTGCTGGGGATGGAACACTGGAGCAAAGGTGCCCAGGGCGTATCCTGCACAGCTCCTTTCCCAGGGCAAGTTGCCACATTCTGGGAACCCGCAAGCAGGATGCGACGCCAACAGCTCCGGCCCGGCCCCGGAGGCTCAGCAGCAGCTCCCCGCGGGACACGGAGGAGGGGGACAAGCCCTGCCTGGCACGGAAGTGGGGCTATCCAGCGGCGGGTGGCCTGGAGAGCCAACACCAGCCCGGGCTCTTACCTGGGTGCAGTGAAGGGCGCTGGGCACAGGAAGAGGAAGGCCACCAGCAAATCCACACACTCCTCGGAGAGGCTGTCGCTCAGCAGCTGCGCACGGATCCAGCGCTTGGCCAGCCGGCTGGTGCTGCCGAAAGCGGGGTGCTGCTGCTGGAGGCTATGGGAAGGGGACAGACCGTCAGGGACCCGACTCCCAGGGCCTCCGTCCCTCCCCCAGGCAGCACAGAGAAGGCGTGGCCGGCTGTATCTGCGCGAGAACCCCCCCTCCAAAAGCCTACAATCCCCAGCAAGAGCGGGCATGTGTAAATGGGCACCAGGAGCCGATTCTCGGGCGGCGGCTGTCCTGGCCGGCTGAACAGCCAAACACCGAAAAGGGCAGCTGTCGTCCAGCTCCGCCGGTTCTCCTCCTTGTTCTTGACCGTGAAATTGTACACGGTGCTTTAACTGGAACTGTTCTGGGGTTTTAAGCAGCATAAAAGGGACCACAGGGATAAAGTGGGAAAGATGACTTGCAGGACTGCAGGTGAAAAGGGAGGCGGGTGCTGGGAGGGGGTCTGGGGAGGCCTGAGAAATGAGGCCAGGGAACCGCAGAGCACCTTCCTCGCACCAGTGGCTGAACCTGACCAGGTGCCCCTCACTCGCCCCCATGATGCATGCAGGTCTGGGATAGTGGGAAGCTTCCTGCCCAAGCTGCCTTGCCCAGCGGCTCTCCTCCCGCTCAGACTCTGTTTTCCCACAGGAAATTCAGGGCAGCCTGCAGGGAGCTCAGTCTCTTAAGCAAAATGTCCCAGAAGAAGAGCAAGCGACCTCATTATTATTACGGTCATAGTCATCACTGCCCCCCCCCCCATTTGCTAAAAAGCCTTCACGGAGCAACAATTCAGAACTGCGCAACACGAGGTCACTGCAAACTTTAAATAACTCCACCATACAGGGAGCAACCTGAGCATGTTTAGACTGGAAAAAAAAGTCCGACAGCTTTTAGCATTCTCCAGCCAGCCCGTTCCCCCTTCCGGAAGCCAAGAGAGCGGAGGCCAGTTGCGATGCCTGAAGAAGACACGCTGCCGTTTGGGGCAAAGCCCTTTGTGGGCACCAGGCAAAGGGTCCCCCCCCGGAGTCCAAGGGCTGCCCAAAAGTCCCATCCAGCAGATCTTAATCCTTGGACAGGCGCACGCCAAGAGGCGGACACTCTGGTAGGCAGACTAAGCCCCCTAGTTCTGGAGGTGGACAGCACCACCTCGACTTCTGCCTGAAAAGAAGCTGGCAACCGCAGCCTCTGGACAGTCTTCAAGGGCAGCCCCACAGAGAACACACTGCAGCAGTCAAAGCATGGTGTGACCAAGGGACGGCTGGCTGGGGCTTCCGCTCCTTTTTTACCCATGAAGGCAGCTGGTCAGGTACGGCAAATGCTGGGTCTCCAGTTCCAGCTGCCGGGACTCCTCGTTGTCCTCGTATTTCAGCATCCCCTCTGGGGTGACCACCTCCTTCAGGATCTGGGGCTCGCGGTGGTAGGCCACTCGGAGACGGAAGACATAGCCATCCTGAGGAAGAGGAAGGACACACAGAAGATTTGCTTCTGCCCCGAGCGCCGTCTCCCTCCTTGCCCTGACTTTCCCTCCCCAGCCCATAATACTATCCCTGCAATGCTGCCTCTGTGGAGGAATTTGCGCCTTTGATGCACACATGCAATTGTATACACAGAACTGGGGTTGGCTGCACATCCCACACGATTAAACTGTGAATTTTAGTTGATTAATCTATTCACTAAGTCACTAAATCTCAAATGAGAAATCTGGAAGGAAAAAAAATCGGCTTTTAGGGGGTCTGTGTCACAGCAGGGGCAAAGGTGGGCGGAAAGCAGAACTTTTTGGACTCCAGCTCCCAGCATGCCTGGCAATTGGCCACGCCCACAGGGCTTCCAGGAACGGAACTATCCGGAGAGTCACCTGCCGCCCACTGGCCTAGGAGAGGCATCACCTTCTGTATGAGACAAAGAGGAAAGCCTCTTCTAACAGAATGCTTCCCACCTATTTCTCTTGTAAAATAGTTCTATGGAAAATTATTCACCTTTTTTAAAGTCTGCTGCCTGGTTCAGCAAAAAAAAATTCTTCTTTTCAAATTCAACCCAAATCAGCTGACACTGTGGCCACAACACCGAGATAATTAATCGGTTTGCTCCGATTAAAAACTGTCCATTCAGATCACACCAATTAATATCTCAATGTCGCCATCCTTTTCCTCGCTGATTCAGGATTCCTTCCTCCAAAATCAAAGGCAGTGATCAGTTTTGGGCACGTTGGTGCTGTATTCACACCAAAACGGTTTTGCTTGCACATCGGCACAGCAAACACACACACACACACCAGAAACGCTATGCATGGAGTGATTTAACTGAGGACACACAAGCAGATGGAGACTAAAATCTTCCCAGACTTTGTAGGTTGATACTGGAATGACTGTCGGAAAATACATCAGGAAGCAGGAGGGCCAGTGTGAGTGCTGGACTGCGGACCAGGAGGCTCCGGGTTCAAGTCCCCACTTACCCCTAAAGCTCACGGGGTGACTTTGGGCCAGTCCCAAACTCTCAAACTAGCCTACCTCACAGGGCTCTTGTGAGGATACAAACGGAGCTATGGAGGCCTCCTTGGGTTCTTCATGGGATACGGATGCAATGGAAGAAGCAGTAGCTGTATACAGAATACATTCCCACTTTATTTTTTAAATTTAGATTTAAAGTAAAATAAAAATAAATTTAAAGTAAATCAAGTTTACTTTATAGAGAAGTAAATCTAGGCTTTAATCCTTTCAAGGGCAGAGCGGTTCTGAAGAATCCAATCAAGTGCGCAGAAAGGCTCCTGCGTGTTGCAAAGGCGCTCCATCTCCCAGGCCTCTATGCCAACCATTAGTCCTACCGGCCAGGGATGATGGGAATAGGAGTTCAACCCCACTGCATACAAGACACCAGGTTAAAGAAGGTTGCCACTTGCCACAGGACCCTTCTGTTGGTCCTCCTTTTGATCAAATCCCATTCCTATTAATAACATTTCTTGGTGATTAAGAACAGCGGCAGATGCCCTTTTGAAGACACGTGTGCTGAAGGAGGTCTGTGGGGAAGGAATTTCTCCTGTGTGCTTCCCAAACTCCAGAATACCCTCTCCCTGGAGAGGCGACTGCTTCCTGCCACCCCTGCATTCAAGGAAGGGGTTAAAGATGCAATCCTATGCTTGTTTAGGCAGAAAAAAGGGTAGTGACTGGCAAGCGCTTGAAGGCCTTTTTCCTGCCTAAACATGCACAGGATTCTCCCCTAAATGACAACAAAACCAAATTCTACCACCACGTCCCTCCCATTCGGGGGAAATCCACTTCTGCACTGAGCCAATTATCTAGCACACATAAACAAATCTCTGGGGAGCCAGTGCGGCACAGTGGCTAAGAACGCGGGACTGAGGAGACCTGCGTCCTCATCCCCACTCAGCCATGGAGCCCACTGGGTGGCTTGGGGCCAGCCGCAGACCCAGCCCAGTCTACCTCGCAGGGTTGCCGTCTTGGGGATAAGACTGAGGGCAGGAGGGGGAAGAATGATGTAAGCCACTTTGAGTTCTTTAAAAAAGAAAAAGGTGGGATGGGAATCTAACAAATGAATACTAAATAGCCCTCTATACCGCTGAGGCTCAGGAGAATCAGAGCTGAAAAGGAACTGAAACCCCAAGTCTGAAATCCCGGCCTCAGATGGCCATCATCCTCTTGCGTCAGGACCTCACAGATTTGCCACAAAGTACAGACCACAGAAAGGAAGTCCGGCACACTGCGGCACCGGGCCAAAAGAACCACACGCCCTCCAAGAAGACTCCACCCAAGCCACGAAGGAGAGGGGGCATGGGGTTGGATGGGGCAGAGGGTTCCAGAGCTACCAAACTGGTGAAAATATTCTGGACCCACTGGCTGCAAATGCTGGATTCGCCGGGGGGGGGGGGGGTGGCGCAGCGACTGGGCCACCACTGTGGGATCCAGCAAAGAACTATTCAATGAAAAAGTTGTATTTTAATATACACAAATGACTTGTATCTACCCCTAGCAATTAAAACACTTGAAATGACTATCACTTTCTAACAGCTCATCGTAAGCTTCAACATTGAAACAAAGCGAGTCGGAAGGGGTCTCCTGGGCCATCTAGTCTGACCCCTGGCTCCACTCATGTACTCCCCAACCTGTGGTTGTCCAATCTTTCCTCGAAACCCTCACTGATGGGGCCTCCACCACCTCCCATGGAAGCCCATTCCATGTCCTGGGGGTCCTAACCAAACGCAGGCTCAAGATGCACAGAAGGACCCATTCAAAGGTGGTATTGATAGCTACCCATTTAAAGACTGGAACCGTTGTAAAGTCGTTAGTCTACTGCATTACAGGAGTCTTCCTACTTTTGTAATCTCAGTCTTTTAGCTTTCCCAAGGGGACAGAAAATCCGTTTCTGCTGGGCATTTGTTAATTTCCATAAAGCAGTCAGCTAGAAGTGCACGTACATCAGTGAATATTAAAGGCTGTTCCAGTACAAAATTTAACAGATTAATAATCTCCCTGCAACAAGCAGCAACCACTGGACCATGCCAAGGCTTACTTAAAAGCAGCATTAGCAGAATTAAATACTCCCTCATTAAAAAGATGCTGTGACAGCAAGCATGGAGGGAACGTTTTCACTGAGTAACACACATGTGACTGTAGACAAGCTACGGCAAATCTGGACAGCATCCTAAAAAGCAGAGGCATCACCCTGCCAACAAAAGTGCGTATGGTCAAGGCGATGGTTTTCCCAGTTGCAATGTATGGCTGTGAAAGCTGGACCATAAGGAAGGCTGAGCGCCGAAGAATTGAGGCCTTTGAATTGTGGTGCTGGAGGAGACTCCTGCGAGTCCCTTGGACTGCAAGGCGATCAACCCTGACTGCTCCTTAGAAGGCCAGATCCTGAAGATGAAACTCAGGTACTTTGGCCACCTAATGAGAAGAGGAAGGACTCCCTGGAGAAGAGCCTGATGCTGGGAACAATTGAGGGCAAAAGAAGAAGGGGACGGCAGAGAATGAGGTGGCTGGATGGGGTCACTGAAGCAGTAGGTGTGAGCTTGGGTGGACTCCGGGGACGGTGGAGGACAGGAAGGCCTGGAGGAGTGTTGTCCATGGGGTCGCGAGGGGTTGGGCACGGCTTTGTGACTAAACAAGACTGTAGACACGCCAATGGCAATCCAGCGATAGGGTATTTTGTGTTCATGCCAACAGCCATTCCTCAGATTTCCTGAACTGCCCCCCCCACAAAAAAAGGGGGGACGCTGGCTTGGTGCTAGCAGGCCCTGCCCATAACAAACAAAATAATGATTTTTACGAATGCACATGCAAAAATCGGCCGTACCTTATACACGTCCGTGTAGGTGGGGGCGGCCCGGCAGAGCAGCTGGTGCTGCTGCTTCAGGAGCTCTGCCAGCCGCAGCTGGAAGGCGGCCTTGACCCGCTGGATGGCTCCCTTGTCCTGGGGCCACTGGCCACTGCCCTCCATGTGGCATATCACTAGAGTGCAGAGAGGGAGGGGATCAGCTCGCTGGAGGGACGGGGTGCGGCAGAAGCACGGAGGCAACAAGGCAAGGCAGCCCTCCTGGCTGGGCCCAACGCCTTCCCAACCTGACACTCCCCCATCATCCCCAGCCAGCACGCCTGGGGTTGGCCCAGCTGTCGGGAAGGCTGCTCTTTAGCGAAGTCCGGCCACTTAAGGCCCCCCAGCAGCTTTGGCCCAAGCGCCCATCAGCCCCGGCCAGTGCTGGTAATGCGAGGGATCCCGGCCGCCCCGCCTCTGTCCCGGAAGCGCCTCCTTGCCTTCCACTGGGGCGATATAGGCCGGGCACGGCTTCTCCTCCAAGGGCAGAAGCGACTCGCGGTCCTTGCTTCTGGCATGATAGGCGTAGTCTGGCTTCATGGGCACAGGAGGGAAAACCTGGAAAGCGAGGAGGAAGGGTGTCCGCCAAAGCCAGGACGAGGCGGAGCGCTCAGATCCCAAGCTGGTGGTCACTTCCATATTTCGGGCAGGTGGTTCGTGACCTCTGGACCCCAGACGCTCTCAAGTCAGCCGAGGGTGGCAAATCAGGAGCTGGACGAGTCGGCGGGAAGGATCCGACTGCCTCAGCACTCCTGCTACTGGCCTAGCTCTCGAGTAACCCAATAGGAACTGGAGTGCGAGAACCTCCACCTTGGCACTGAACCAGCATTTCCGGAGCGAACCCTGCGACCCACTGCGTCCTTCCCAGGGGCTGCCTCTGGCCTCTGCTGCTCGGGGCCGACTCTTGAAGGGCGTGTGCCCAAGGCCTCCCCTGCAGACCTGGGAGCTCCTGCAGGGATGTCTGCTGGGTCGGTCCAGGAGCCCCTCCAGGCAGCACCTTCTCTGGCTTGACCCAGCCGTGGCCTCGCTGAGAAGGGAGGGGACCCCCGCTCAGTAGCAGAGGACAGGGCTGGTGTCTGCAGACTGAAATCCACTCTGGAGGATCTCTCGGGGACCGCCTTCCAGGGGGAGCTGCGGCTGAAGGAAGGAGGTCAGAATTTCCAGCTGCACCAGCTGAAGTGCTTCCTGCCACGAACTCCAATTGCCTTCAGAGGCGTTTCAACCTTTCCGAATAGGCAAAAGCTACATGCAAGACGGAAGGCCAAGCTGGGAGGGCAAGGGAAAGGGTGCGGCCTGCTGGGGAACGAAGAGGGCTGGACTGGGGCCCAGTCAGGCCAAACCTGGCCTGTAGGCCTGGGCTCTGCCCACCTGTGTTGAGGTGACCAGGAGGGTCTCTCCTCCCCGCCTGGGGGCATCCTGCCACTGAAAGGAGGAGCGATACCGGGCCAGACACACCAATGGTCTAGCTCAGGAGAAGACACCTTAGCTTCTCCCAGTGGCTGCTTTACGGAAGAGACCTCCAGGTTCCTGCCAGGTGCAGAGAGGCTTGAAAGAGTCACTCGAGTGAGCAAAGCCTGTCGCGAGATCCTTCCACGGAAGACCCCAGAAAAGCCTTCCCAGGGAGATATGCTCTGCTACTAAAGTGCCACGAGGAAACCCTCCAAGAAACCAGAGAGGCCCCCCGCCATGGGGAACTCACATCTGTGCACCGAAGAGCCGGGTGGGCCCCCTGCACAGCCGTCACTGACAGCGGCAGCCCCTCCAGTTTCCACAGCTTGCGGCTCAGGTCATCGTAGGAACGGACCAAGCTCACGGTGGCCTCCTCTCCGGTTCCTGTTGGCTGCGGAAGGCAGTGGGAAAACGGGCAGGGAGAGAAAGCTTATTGGCACAAGCCCAGCAGTAATCGGTGCGGATGGCTGCTCCGCCTCAAAATTACACAAGCAAACACAGAAGGGTCAATGAAGCAAGAGAAGACGGTGTGCCCATTTCTTGAAATGCAAGGCCGATCCAGGCCCCAAATGGGGTAGGCCCTGAGGCCAACGAGAGGACAAGCTTCCGCCCACCTGCCCACAAGCTGCCCTTGTCTCCAAAGAGATCTGTCGGGAATCGGCAACAGCTCCTTGGCCACTGAAAATCCACTGTTCTAGTTCTTGCTGCCTTACCGATCTCATTCTGTCTGTCTGTCTGTCTCTCTCTGTGTGTGCATGAGAGAGAGAGAGAGAGAGAGAGAGAGAGAGAGAGAGAGAGAGAGAGAGAGAGAGAGAATGAATCCTTGTTCAGTTTGATGGATGCTTTGTTATTGTTGCCCTTGTCTTAATTTTAAGCAGCTCTGGGAAAAGCGTCATATAAGGCTTTGTGTTTTTTCTAAGAGAAAGAGCCCGCTTGTTGAGAGGGCAGCCAGGGCTGAGCCCCAAGGGCAGGGGTGGGCAAGAGTGGCAGCCGGGGCACCTCCGTGGCCTGCTTCATGGCTTCCCAGGCAGCTGCGGAAGGAGAATTCTCACCCCAGCTCTTAGGCATCAGATCCAGCGCCTTATCTCCCAAGTTGCAAGAAAGGAGCAACCCCTTCCCTTTCACCAACCTGGCACTCTCCGGGCGTTTTGCTCCACACCTCCGAGCACTGCGAGACGGCCGTGCTGGCCGGGGCAGATGGGGAGCTGTCACCCAAGTCCTCTGGACTCAGTCCCAGACGGGGGAGAGCTTGGGACACTCTCTGCTCCCAGCTATTCCCAGTTCCTGCCTTCCGAGAGCCAAGCGACTCATGAGCTTGGAAACAAAGGAATAATGCCCCCCCTTGACCAAAGCTGAATGTTCCTTTGTTAGCCCCCCATGGGGGTGGGATTTCAGGAAGCAAATGGAGGCTGTGGGTGAGCTTTAATCTTCTCCCAGAGTCTGGTGCTCTCAAGCTGGACCTAAAGCTGGATGTTTCGGGCAGTCACAATCATGCACATGTTCAAAACCAAAAGCCATCAGAAATACACTGTTATGGCCCAGTAACGCAGAGGCAGACAAGACCTAGGTAACATAAGAGCAACGTGGGGTGATTTAGCTGCCTCTCCATTTTAGCAAAACCGGGGGTCAGGGTTATTGTAAATACCCTGCAATACAGGAAACCGCAACAGAAGAACAAATCTGGAGTGACTCTTCCTGGCCGCCAATCCAAAGAAAAGGAACCTTTAAGACCCCCCTAGTACAGCAATCAAGATTTATCCAGATCAGAGCAAGAGAGAAAACCTGTTGATTCCGTTCAATCTGGTTTGCTCAGCTGGCCCTGGGCACTTTTATGACTCCACGGTATAATATCTTCAGTTTTCCTCTGCTAATTTATAGGGTTGACCTGCCAGAATATCAGAAATCTCCCCATTGGGGTCACCTGAAGACTAGTTCTTCCATCTCGCGGCAGATGAGCAAGGGGAGGCTGGCCTTCCCCACAGGCAGTGCTCAGACAGGTCAGGAGAAGGTGCCACGATGAGCCAGGAGGGAAAGCCACATGCCTTGCCACGAGACCTTGGCAGAGACACGGGCAGGCTGTCAGCCACTGGCTTGCCAAGAAGCCCTCGGAAATATCACAAGCGAAGAGCACCCCCTCCAGGCCAATCTGGGCCTTGCAGAGCAGAACGAGCCCTGCTCCTTGGACCGGCAGGATCCGGTTTGCCCTCCTCATGAGCAGGAGGGCCCACGCCAGACAAAATGTTGCATGGGTCAATGCATTTCATATTGTAAGTGCGTTTCACAGGAGATCTGCTTTTTGTCCTTCCAGCAGGAGCTTTGTGGGCACCTCAGCAAAACCAGGACCACGTTGGGAGAAGAGGGGCAACGCCGGGCCGGGCAGCCTCTGTCCTGCAGGATAAACTGGGCCCACGGAGGACGAGGCATCCTCCGTGGGTCCCTGGCCTGGCCAGGTGGGCACAGGAGGCAGAGAGGAACCCTGCTTCTCCTCTGACCTGTGACCGGGAGAATGAGGCGGGAGCAGTCGTGCATCGCTCCCCATTTCCCCTCTGCGAGATGGTCCCAGGAAATGCCACTTGGAGGGAAGAGTTAATAGTCCTGGGGGGAAGCTGCCAGAAGGGGGGGATTCTGTGGGAAACTGCATGTGTGGTGCGGAGGGTTGTGGGGAAAACAACATGCACAGCAAGCTGATTCACATATAAGGACAAGATGGCCAAACACGGGCTGCTGCGGAATCATGGGCTGTCATGATACGCTTTGCATGTCATTAAAGCAGCGCCAGGCGAAGACCTTTTTATTTAAACGTCATTCTAATTGTTAATATTATTTGCTTATTTTATCTGGCCAGGGCGACTTATTTTATATTGTTAATTTGTTTTATATTTTGAATGTATTATATTTTAATTTTATGTTGTGAGCCGCCCCAAGGCTTCGGCGAATGGGGCGGCATAAAAATGTTTTAAATAAATAAATAAACCTACATTATGGCTTAATATGATGTGTTAACTATGAACAAGCCAGAAAGAAAACCATGATCTAATGCTGGGTTGCGAACTCTGGATTGCCTGTAGTTCTTAGAGAGCTTGGTCAAACCATAGTGCAGGGTTTGCATCTAGCGACAACCCACGATTCAAGAAAAAGCCCGTAATTCGGCAAGCCACACACAACCCCAATCCAGGGTTGTCATTCCATGTGAACCAAGTGACAGAGGGGCAAGAGCATCCTTCTTCAATTTAGGGATTCGGTGTCTCCTGTTCTCCTCCCAAGGCTGTGCTGCTGGCTGCAGATCACGGGAACTGTAGGCCAACACTTCGGAGGACACCCGCACACAGAGGAGCGCAACCCAAACTACCGCAGCATGCGCCCCAGCAGGCGGGCCCTGCTAACAGACCCACCACAGCTCACCCCGAGATGGAAGGAGAAACTCGGCTCTCACCTCGCGACCCTGTTGGATCACTGCCTCCAGCCGGGTGCCAGTGTAGCAGATGCAGGACTCTGGAATGCCCATGTGCCTGAAGGGAGGGACAAGCCCAGCCGAGAGGGACAAGTAAGCAGAGAAGGCCGCTGTTCCCGCCTCCCCCGTTGTTCCTTCTAGTCCTTTTACACTGTCAGAGAAAACCTGAGGCCAGACCGGGAGCCCCAGAAGCTGGAAAGCAGCTGCATGAGGAGGACGCACTCGGCAGCACCCTTCTGGGTTCGCGTGTGAAAAGCCCGGCCTGCCTTCTGTTGGGGCAGACGCAGCCGCTGTGCTCCGAGCACAAGCAACGCCCGGCTCAGCAGTGGCTCCGACAGTGGGAGAGCAGGACAAAAGGCAACGGGCTGTGCATTGCTTGTTGTGTGCAGCTGCTTGGTTTTGGGGTTTTTGCCAGCTGCCCAGAGACTTTTAGTATTGGGACGGCATATAAAAACTTTACATAAATAAATACAGCTCCTGCTGCATGAATGGCTGTGCTGCCTCGAACTGTGACGCCCCTGTACCCTGCTTCCAAGCGTGGTCCGCATCAGCTCAGAAGCGCTGCTGCTTTAGATGGGGAGCACCCGCCTCAGCTTCTCCCAGGAGGAAGGAGGATCCATTCCCCTGCCGGTGACACAGCTCCTTCCTCCTCTGCTCCCTCCCCGCCTTGGGCTTGCCCCCGAGCGACTCACAGCTGCAGCAGGTGACGAACGATCCGCTCCGGAATGCGGCGCTTCTGGCTCACGTTCGGCGCGTCCCACAAAACGGCCTCACAGATGGCCCCATCCTGAAAGCGCCTCAACTCGGAGCGCTCGCCCCAGAACTGCCGAAACTCCACTGCCTGCAGGAAGAGACATTTTGGGAGTGGGGCGCAGGATGGGTTGAGGTAAACGAGGCTGTAGATTCTCTTCCTTTCTTCCGAGCCTTGTTTTGTTTGAATTGGCATCATTTAAGGAACCTGCCTGTATGAACGCAAACTGAGAAAAGATCTACACTTCCCAGCTGTAGGAACCGTAGGACTTTTTTTCAGCCTAGCAAGAGCAGGATCGCACGCTTAACAGAATTTTAGGCAGGAACACGATTGTTGAAACAACAAATGGAGAGAGAAAAATGCCTGTGGGACCGACACACATTTGTTATACGCTCAAAATACAGGAGCAAGTTTAAGTTCAGTCCTGGCATAATCCTTCAGCTGCTCAACAGAGCCTAGACGGACACGGGATGTTTTGGGATTATAGTGCTGACCCTGGAAACTTGCAGCAAGACCCACGCCGGCTGCAACCCCAAGTGGAAGTGGAGCTTGGGGGGCAGGAAGTGGAGGAGACAGCCCTTACAAAGCACCCTGGTAACACCCTGCCCACCCCCCACCGGGGGAAGGCCGTGTCCTATATGACCAGAGGGGTGGGCCTTCCCTCCGCAGACCCCCGTGCTTTGAGTGCCAACAATCCCTCAAGCCCTCAGACAGGGCCAGGCACCCTCGCTGGACTGCACACTCCGCTTGCTCATCAACCAGATGAAAGTGGAGAAGAAAAATCCTAAAAACAGAGTGTCGTAACACTGACTGCCTTCATTTGGCCTGTTTGCAAACAAGACAAAGGGAAAAAGACAAAGGGAATGTTGCATTTTTTTTAAAGTAAAACCTAACCAGACGTGTAGCTTTTGTCCATGGAAGCAAAACATGGCTGTGAATAGACCAGCAAAACACTCAGAAGGGACAGAAAAAGGAGTCTTCTTGTGAACGGTGAGCAGGAATTAGCTGTATCCATGGCTAGCTGGAGCAGGACACTCACCTCCGGCCGATCCGCTTCGGGGCCCCTCTCCAAGACGCTGCTTGCAAAGTCGGGGCTCAGCAAGAGCCCCAGCGACAGGCACCCCGCATCTTTGTGCTTTGGGGGATCCGCGTTGATCGGCCACTGGATGGGTGGGGGAGAGAACCGGGGGGGGGCAAAATTAGCTGAGCCAGCCAGGGAAAACATTCCGCTGCCCCGAGCCCATTGCAAGCTTCCCTGCATGCCCCTCCTGGAAGTATTTGGAGAGGTTCTCAGCTGTTTGAGCCAGCCCAGGCTCTGGAATACGCATAAAGCCTCTGGCTTTGAGAAGAGGAGGCGGCACCCCTGGGCCACGTCTACGCTAGTTTTGCAGAGCCTGTGATGTTAGCGACACGAATACGGACACGATCCCCATGTCTCCCCCATGGCCCACGAAAGGCAGAGAAAACCACGCCATGGCTAGGCTCAGCTGTTAAGCCCAACACGACGAGCCGAGGGTACCACTCCGGAGAAATGTTGCCCCACGGAAGTCAACGCTTGGCAATACCCAGCGAAGCTCTATGGGAGCCATTTTGGTCTTTGCTCGACAAAATGCTATTTCCGACCCTTCTGACTGCAAGGGCCGGGAACTGGAAACGGAAGGCAGGCCTCACGCAGCCTGAAGCACTGCTTCCTTTAGCAGAAATGCTTCCAGAAGAACGGTTACCGGCGGGGTCTCGGGAAGACTGTGCGCCAGCAGCAGAACCCTCTGGGCCAGCCCCCGTTCCAGCAAGCCGAGGAGGAAAGGCAGCGTGGCGGCCACGTAGTTCCCGCCGTGGTCCATCAGCTCACTGAGAAGCTGCAACTTCTTGCAGGCCAGCTGCAGCTTTGAGACGTGCCGGAGGCTGAGGGGAGAGGGAGGGACGCGGTCATTGCTCGGGGCACGCAAAGAGAGACACACCTTTGCCCGGCTGTGTGCTCGGCCACCGAAAAGAGAAATCAGCGTTCCGCACAAGCCAACTCAGGGCCTTCCCCAAGAAAGCTTAATTCTGCAAAAGGCAGAAATCGTGCAACTGCCCTGATTTTGCACCTGTGCTTACAGAGGCATCAGCGACTGAGGGTTCAAGTCAGGTCACTGGTCCCCTGGGGCCAAAGGGCTGAACCCGTCGTATGCCGGGGGCCGCAGGCTGACCACCCGCTCTGCTCCGACTGGCTGGGACGGTCCAGCACCTCTGACAGAGGTCACTTCCAGCACCTGCCACCTGACCATGGAGATGCTGCAACCTGGACCGGCGACCCGTTGCGTGCTCAGCCGCTGAACTGCATCCCGTACCCAACTTCGCACACATGTCCTATTTTCCACCCTGCAAGTCTGTTCTTGCAGGCCCCAGAAAGTTTCCCAGGCATGGAAGCCCCTCCCGGACCACTGGCAACCTGGTTCTGTTCCTCCCCTCCCGGTTTCTGGGATGCTGCCTATATATTCAAATTGCCTGCTGTTGCAGTAAGGATTAGAATCAATTTTTTTCCTTAAAGAGAAACTGAACAGTCAAAAAGCTGATTTTTGGCACAATGTCATGCTTTAGGGTTCAGCCCGTATATGAAATTGCAGCAAAAACTACCTTCAAATGGTAAAGAACCAACTCTTTTTCTTTTAAATGTGAAATCAGAAAGTAGTGAATTCTACACTCAAACCTAAATTGCACCTTACTGGTAAATTACTAGCAATCACACACAATCTTTGCTCAGGAGAGACAATCAACCTTAATTATTTTGTGTTTTCTTTTGCTTAGTTTCAGAATGGCCATCCACTAACACAAAAATAAAAATAAAAAATCCACAACCACCCCAGCAATCCTTTTTCAAATTATAACTTCCTTGGCTGTTTTCCTTGGTTTTCAAACATGCCTCTGCAATCATGAGGTCTAGAACCTTAGGGTTTTTTTAAAAAAAATTAAGAGAACTCAAACTTAAGCAGACTCAACTTCAGAGGAGGAGAAGAAAGGAATGGGACGGGACAGATTTTAACAAAAGCAGACAACAGGACAATAGACTGTGCTTCTCCTGCCTGACCCCAATAGCTGCAGGGGCCAATTCACTGAGCCACACGCTCCGAAGTAGCAGTGTGAGCTGCCTAGAGACGCTGTTGGCGGAACGGGCAGCCTATAAATGTTTTAAATAAATAAATAAATAAATAAATAAATAAATAAATAAATAAGGGGGCATACTGGAAGACGTGGTCAAAGGCTTGGATGAGCGGCTTGGGGGTCATGAAGAGCAGCTGGAATCCGTCCACTGTTTTGTCATCCAGAACTTCCATGGAGCGCTTGGCTTCAAACTGGACCTGGAAAAGGGCAAAACCTGTGTCTTCGGCCTCCCCACCCCACCAGAAAAGGGGCCAGGTCTCAATCCCCTAAGCGCCTTTCAGACTGGCTGGAAGGTTCAGCAAAGTGGCATCTGTTGAACTGCTGCCTGCCAAGCAAGCACAGCACGGGCGTGTATTTGCGGGGGGTGGGATGCAGGGGAGGAAGGGGGCTCCTCCTTCCAGGCCTCCGGCGGGACACCATCTTGGCAGCCGCTCCCAGAAAGGGAAGAGCAGCCTCGCTGGTTCAGACCCCTGGAGTCCATTACTGGCCCAGGCCTGTGGGGGGCCCCTTCCCAGGCCTAGGGGAGGCTGGCCAGCAAGCCCCTCAGCTCCTGTACATCGTGCCAACTTGGCTGAGAGCCATTCGCAGAACACTCCTCCGCCGCCGAGCTAAGCCTGCATAGCCGGAGGGTCCCACAGCCTCCTCCACCAGGAAATTCCCGAGGCGGAGGGCACGTGGTGGGAATCAGCCTCTCCTTCCATCTGGTCCCAAAGCCAGTATCGCTGGATAACGGCAGTTCCAGTAGTGGGGGAGAAAAGCCCACCCTTCCCATTATTCCCGAGAAAATACCCTCTTCTATAAACCTCAGCCAGACTCCACCCCGCTCTCTTTTCCCCTGAGCTCCAGCACTCTGATTTCTGACCGGGAGATCGTGGCCCTTGCCACGTAGGAGATCAAGAGGAGGAATCCAGACTCAGGTGGAGCCCACAGACCTAGCAGGGGCTCCAGCCACCTGCTCGCTGCTCACCGCATTTACCTGTCTGTATGTGTTGACAGTCATATCCGCACACAGGTTCACCAGCCCGGAAGGGTCCACAAAGACCACCTGGAAGGCCTTGTGGAAGTCAGCCAGCGTAGGCTAGAAGGGAAGCACACCATGGCGGCATCAGAAGCCGCTGCTTTTGCAGTGGAAAAGGGGCGGCTTTCGGCGGGTGAAGCGAAGGCGCAGAACAGGAGCCCAGAGTCCAGCGAGAGCACGCCCCCTCCCCAGCCACAGCAAAATGAGGAGCCACGGACAGCCCCCGACAGAACGCTGGTGGCGCAGCGGCACCGTGGCTTCCAGAGACGAGGCACACAGCCTTTCATGCTTCCCAGACTTTCTGTCCCCTTCATTCTCAGCTGGCTCAAGTCCTTGGAGCAGCAGTGCCTTAGTCAACTAGGTTTAACTAAAAACCTAGTTAAAATATTTAAATATTAAAATACTGGGCAAATAAAGAGGCTTTTACCTGGCACCAAAAGGACTATAGAGTCGGCGCCAGGCGAATCTCTCTGGGGAGCGCATTCCAGAGTCGGGGTACCACAGCAGAGAAGGCCCTCCTCCGGGTATTCGCTCTCCTAACCTCCTTCACGGAGGGCTCCCAGAGGAGAGCCTTTGCCTCAGATCTTAAGGGGCGGGAAGGCATAGAAGACCAGTTCTTCTCTGTTTGAGAGAACAGCTGCTCAAACTGATTTGCAGGAAGGCACCCACAATGCAGCCGGAACGTGCGGACTCTCCTTAGGGATGTGGCTAATGGGGCTGCCAGAAGTACGGGGGTGCATCAAAATTCCAGCACTGTGCCATCGTTTGGTACCCGCATTACAGCCGCTGGCATGAGCAGCCTCCACTACGAGAGGGCAGAGCCGAAAAGCAGCCTCCAGCGACAGTCACACGAATTGCCAGGTGCGGGGTCTGGACTGAGGCATCGACGTTCCGGGAAAGAAACCCTCGCCACACGATTCCCACAATTTCTCCTCCATTCGGTGCCACTGCTTTACGCAGCTCTAATTTTGTCAGAGGCACAGAAAGGTGGGGTGCATTTTAAAAGCTTTCGTTCACAAAAAGCGGTGGAGAAGGTCTGGGGAGATGCGCTCTCCTACCAGCGTGACGTCGTCCTCCTTCGCGAGGCTGATTCCGGATTGACTGAGGTCCGTCGTTGCTGCAGAGGGAGAAAGAATCGCACATCGGCATCAGGCGAAGGCTCGGGTTTTGTGAAGGCAGTCATTCCACAGAGGTGAAAGGAGATGCTGGCGGGAGCGCTCGGTCCATCCCTTTGCCCAGACACTCCCATGCACAGCTGCAGGCTCCGTGCACCATCCGCTCCAGCCAGTGGGGCCCTGCTGATGGACTGAGCTTTGCAGGCTCTTCCGTTCGCTCAATCAATAAGCCAAGCTGGACCAGCCCTGCTGGCTTCCTTGGGATTCCAAGCAACTTGGAGTCCACGGCCACAGATAAGGGGTGCAGCGCTGTCCAGATGGGAGAAGCGCCACACGTTCCCTGTGCCCAATATCCCCACCTGTGGGGTGCAACGCGGGAAGGGCGTTCTGTGGGATCTCACCCCCCCCCCGGCTAATCAGCCAGAGGAGGCACCTCCCCAGAGGAGAACAAAGTCTGGTCGAAACGCCTCCCACCTCCAAGTCGAAACAGACCACGCTCACCCAAGAACTGGAGGGCGTTCCGCAGCACCTGGTAACCGCTCATCACTTTGTTGATCTTGTGCGTGGCCAAGAGGAATCCCACCAGCATGGAGGCCAGGAAGCCGCTGAAGCACCCAAGGCCCTGGAGGCGGGGGGAGAGGAAGGCGATACCGCGCAGTCTGCGGAAGGCTCCGTTCTGCTTCCCATCGCTGCCCTGTACGGCCAACCTCACGCTGGCCCCATGTTCATTGCTAATCGTCTTAATTGTGGTTTTGTATTTATTACTGGATGCTGTGCTGCTTTTATTTTTTATCTTATCGCTACTATTATGAACCGTCCCGAGATGTCAGTGAAGGGACGGTATACAAAAGTTTTAAATAAATAAATGTTTTTCTTGCTCAGACTGAGAGAACAGCCTGCAGCTGCACATGGAACATTTAATGCAGACCTTCTCAGCTTTTAGCTTGCACATAACAACCTTTGACCTTCCAAATCCTGCAGGCGGAAGGCAACTGGCACTGCTATTTTTACAGATGAGGTTGCAAAGCAAAGATCATAAGAACAGTCTTTTGTGTATCTTCTGTGATTCTTCAGGAACACAGAAAAACATGGAATGCATTCATTTAAAAAATGGAATGCAAGTTTCTAGACCTCATTAACATCAGTATTTATTATTTAATTTTGATGCTGCCCAATAGCCAAAGCTTATGGCTGTAAAGATTTGGTTGAAAAGATGCTAGGCTGAGGGCTAAAGCAGCTTTCCACTGCGGTTGATGCTGGCAAGCAAGACTCGAATGGCCTACAGAACTGCTTTCTCCATGCCAGGTCTCGCCAAGCTAGAAGCACCATGCAAACCAGTTTTACTGACTGTATTTCTATAATGCCTTTCTGGAAACCCCCAAGGCAGTTTACCACAAAGAGAAACTAGAACCCCCAAGCAAAGAAAGACGTAGCAAAATTTCCAAAACAGCCCATCCATAGAAACCGTAACAATTCCAAAAGCCATATGAAAACTAAGCAGCTTGTCCCGCTTCCTCAACGCAGGGTCCACCCGCAATGCTGGGGGCGTGTTCCAAAGTCTGGGAATGACCCAGGAGCAAGCCCTTCCCGGTTTTCCGGACAGTTGTGCAAGCGAGGCTGCCTTAAAAAGGACACCACGTGCTCTGATTACTGATTCCGGCAGGAAGCCCACCTCGCTGTCAAAAGCGTAGAATAGAGTACATAAAGGAAGAGAAATCGCACCCTTGGTCTGGCTGAGTTGTTCACTGGGAGTTGCGGGGAAGGGAAGAACCCACACGGGTCAAATGACCTTCCGGAATTGCGCTTCCAGCGAGCAGCAGACATTGCAGGGCTGCTCTGATGCGTTCCAAACTAAACCCGACCTGGAAAACCACAAGGTCTGGTCCGGACTCCTCCGCTGCACGGGACCCAGTTACCTTATCAAGCTTCCGCTGGTGTAGCCAGACTTTGAAGAGACACACGCCATCCCGCATGCCTTGAAAGTCTGTCGCTGCCCCGGCGAGGAAGGCCAGGTTGGACTCCATCGCCAGGTCCCACAGAATCGAGTTGTTGTAGTGAGGCGTCGGCGGTTCCACCGCTCCTAGACGGGGAACGAGCAAGGAACGCAACGTAAGCGGAAACCTCGCTTGGCCGGCCCTAATATACCAACCCAACACACTCAGCCTTCAGACCTAAAATGGAGGCTCACGGCGCTCTGGGAATGGCCCGTGTGCATCAAAAGGATGGAGACAAACCGACCAAATTTGGGAATATCAGCGGCGGTAAGAAACATCAACAGGCAGCCATGCAGCTGCTTGAGAACTAACACGGTTCTTGCAGCCTGAGCTTTTGTACCCAAGAACCTGAATCAGGTCAATTAAAAGGGTGAAAAGATTGTGGAAACGAACAACATGCCATTCATCTTCTGCTTTATTTTGCTTTTTCAAAAAGGGGGCATTCAGTGGGTCAATCCCAAACAAGAAACATGATTTCTTCTCTACAGGATGATCTTGAAAGAAAGGAGGAGCTTTAGAAAAAGAGGGACTGAGGCTTCACTTCTGGGTATGGAAGGCAGAGCGCCACCAATCCCTTTTTCATGGTGTGACATTTACTGAATAACATCCGCGCACTGCCAGCTGGCCAGGGGATGATGGGAGTTGCTGGGCGTTTTTCCGTCTAAACATGTAGAGCACTGCGCCTTAGGTTCCTCCATGAGAACCTCCAGCTTGATCAGCCGCAGCGTGGGGCAAGGGTACCCCTGAGCACAGGAGCTGGTTTTCAGTGTCACGCTTGCAGTCTGCCCTTCGGCACACAAAACGTACTCCCATCTCTTCCCTTACCTCCCGCGATTCAAGAGGCGCTAAAAGGTGTTTGTTTCGGGTTCTGCCGCACCTCTGGGCTTCAGCTTCCCCACCCCCGATGCGGACCATTCCCCAACCCAATCTGGCTGCCCTCCTCTAACCCCCCCACCCCAACGAGCAGGCCCTCTTCCCTTGACCCCTTCCCATCACTTCCGGGCATACCTGCCACAGGTGAGTCTTTCTCCAGGAACCAGGCGGTGCGGATATTGTTCTTGCTGGGATGCAGGCGGCTGGGCCTGAAGACCCCTTCGGCAGGGCAGGCGAAGAGGCGAACCGTCAGCATCTTGGCATCTTTCCCTGCGAGTCACCAGGAACAAACCGAAAAGGGGGCCGTGATGGGTGAAAGCACGAACCACCCCTGCCCGTCCAAAACGTCTCGTCCCATCGCCCGCATGCAGTCTCCTCCACTCTGGTCCGGTTTTATCTTGGAGGCCCAGAAGGAGCACGGAAGTAAAACGATGAAACGCCCTCCACTGCAGAGGTGTAGAACCTCGGCCAGCCCAAGAGCCAAATTCTGGGGACCCGCATTCAAGAGACAGGCAGGCCAGCCAAAGGCAAAGACAACAGAGCCCGCATATTTTCACTTAAAGCTCTCACTACCCAAAACGGAGCCGTAAAAGAACGGGAAAAGATGGCATGAAAGCCAAGAAGCTACCAAGCCATCGATGCTGGAGGTAGGGAAGTGGGTGGGGCTTCTGGGGGCACCGGAGGGGGCAGATTTGGCCCTGAGCCCGAGGCGCCGCACCCTGCACCCGAGGAGCCAACAAGAACGGCACGACGGGATGCAAAGGCCACACTTAGCATCCTCAAGGTATAACCCACCTGAGCTGCCCTCATTCCAAAAGCACCCACAGCTTAATTCAGGCACTGTGTCAAACCATGGTTTGCACTCATGACAGTTTAAGGCCAAAACCGTGCATTGAGCAAAACGCAACATCGACAAACCGTGGTTACAAGTTGCTCAGCTCCTTTCGTCTCCCATCTTCTCAGCATTCACTGGCACAGGCTCAGAGCTGCCTCCATGCAAAAGAACCGCCACTCCAGCAGCCCCCTTGTCGCCTCTGCAGACCTCACACCGCGAGTCGTTCAGCAGAAACATTTTCCTCCTATCCACTGGACGGTGCAAGCTCTCTTCAATAAGGGATTGTCCAATTGGGCTCATTGCTGGCACTGCATTACAGCTAACGCTGCTTTTAAAGATGTATTTTGGCCATGCTCAAGGTCACTTCCTTTGCAAGGGAGGTTATGACTCCATTAAAATTTGTACTGGAACAGTCTTTAAATATTCCCTGACGTACACGCTCCTGCAAATTATTTACTGCTCGCTGGACCGTAACACATGAAAGGGGAAATGGATTCCCTGTGACCTTCTGATAGCCAGAAGCCTAAAATCACAGAAGTGGAAAGAGTCACCTCCAGTTGGAGGCTTAGTTGGATTTCGTGATCTTTTGCTGAAGCTCATTACAAATCACCAGAAAGCTGTTCCTGTTCTGCACATGTCCATTTATATTAAAAAACAGCTTTTTTTCTTTGTTTTTTTTTTTTTGGAAAAGCCCATTTTTCTGGTGGCCACTGGTGCCACTGGGGGTTCCTGACACTGTGAGTCAGAGATGCCAGACAATGGAGCTCAGCATAAAGCGGCTTCCCACGCAACACCTCAGGTTCAAAGAACGCAGAAGACTCGACCGTTAAATCCTTCCTCCTCCTCCTCCGCTTGGCTCCACGCCAAGGCAGAGCTTACTGTTAGCAGCCGTCTCCAAAGGTCACCCTCTCTTCTCAAAATTCCCATTTCTACTGGCCGATCAGGCCCATGAATGGCAGGCACCTCCCCCCCCCTTGTCGAGGCCTCCCCTGGGGCCGCCCTCATTCCAGGGCGAGGCTTTGCTGTGACCCTGGGGGCCAATGCACCAGCGGAAGCTGTGCAGGCAAGGGAGCTGCCCGCTCAGGACGCTTCCTGCTGCGACGCCGAACGGCTCCTTCCAGATGCGACTGCAGGATCTCGTGCACAGGAGAGGCTGGTTGCAGCCAGGACCTTCTAAAGGACCGTCTGCACACATATATACCTACCCGCCCCTCAGATCAGCCCAGGAGGCCCTTCTACAGAACCACCCCCCAGGGAGATGGGGGGCCAACCAGGAGAAGGCCCTTTTCCGCTGCTGCTCCCCATCTCTGGAACCCCCTCCCTAGGGAAATCCACCTGGTGCCGTCTTGATTTCCCTTTCGGTGCCAGGCAAAGACATATCTTGTTAGGAATTTTTTTAATGTTTAGCCTGTACGCTGTGGCCCCTTTTAAATGCTTTTATAGATGTTTAATTCATTATGTTTTAATTGGTTTTTAATGTGTTTTTACTCTGTTAGTATGCTTTGCATTGTAAGCCGCCTAGGAAGGCCTTGGCAATTATAGATGGTCCATAAATATTGGAAAATAAATTTTAAAAATGCAGAGGAGAGAGGGTCTGGGGCAGCCCCGCCCGCTGCAAAGGCCGGGCTCACCTTGGGGCTGCAAGAGAACAAGCGGCTTCAGGTGGTTTCCGTTCATGTAGGCAAACTTCACGCTGCCGAAGAGCGTTTCCTTCGCCAGACAGTGGGCAACCCAAGCCAGGTAGAGCGCCCTCTTGCGGTGGTAGCGCTGGTTAAGGTGGTCCTTGTCCTGGAAGATCTCCTGGCGAGGCGGGGAGAGACGGTCGGTTGGCAAGTGTCACTTTAAAAGGAGCCCTCTGCCAGCACAGGTAAGCGCTCGGTCTCGCGGTTCCCCTCCCCTAAAGTGCACACAGGTGCTTCTGCTCCCCGCTGAGGGCCCAAGAAATGCCCACGTGCGGACGCTGCAGCGAGCTGGCGGAGGCGCCGCTCTCCGGGTCTGCTCACACGCAGATCGGAGGCCTTCCAGAAAACCCGAGTTCCCACATGGAAGGAAAGCAGGCTATCAATGTTAGCAGAGTCCTAATAGGAGATAGATTAATTAAAATGCCGCAGCCCTTTCATATGGGGGGCAAGACCACAAGTGGGAGAGTTATGTGAAAGGAGCGGAGAATCAAGGGCAAACTGGTGCCGTGGGGAAACCTCGCTGGGGGGGGCGACAGCTCAGTGGTGCCTCCCCCGCCTGCCCCCGCCTTGCTCCATCCAGAAGTGGGCAGCCAGTCTCCCTTTCTGGGCAGCCCTCCTCAGCAGGGGGCCGCAGCAACACGCCCACCCATCTTGGGGCAGTCCGGTACTGAGGCGCAGCTCTGTGGCCGAGCCCCAGTTCTGCAGGAGGGAGGCCCCGGGTTCAAGGAGGGCCTGGGAACGCCCGCGGCTGACTCCCTGGAGATCCGCTGCTGTGAACCCCAGAGTCAGGCCCAAGAGGCCTGGGGTCAAGGACCCCTCACAGCTGTCCTGCTCCTGCTGCACGGATCCTGGCCGGAGGAGGGGCTGCAGAGCCGCCTGTCAAGATCGGCAGGATCCTGGGGTCCCTGGCCCAGCCCCACAGGAGGAGGGCAGTTCCCCCTCTGAAGCGGAGGCTGGGCAGCGACCAGGGACAAAAGGGCTCCTTGGAGAAGCTGCACCCGATTACAACGGACGACTCCGCAGGAGCAGGGCTTCCGGCAGGGAGCTGGGAGGCACTGCAGCTGAGCCCCGGGTGGTGCCGAGGAAGCTCCGGCAAGCTAAGCCTTCAGAGGCGGCCCAGCCGGCGCTGAACCTGCCCTGATCCGTCACGCCCAGGGCCCTGCTCCCCGGGCCAGGCCTCGCCCTGCGACTGAGCCTTGGGCGCCGCTGAATTCCAATTCTGGAGCGTACAACTGCTTGCCCAAAACTGGCTGCCTCGCTGCTCGTATTTCAACCACTGTCTCAACCCACTCCAAGCTGGACTGGAGCGGTTGCAGGGCTAACCCCGCGAGAGAACAGGCCCGCAGCGTTCAGAGCGTGTGCCACGCCGGTGCCGTGGCCCTCCCTGGCCAAAGGAAAGCTCCAGCTGCCCCTCGCCGATGCGAGCGCCACTCACCCTGGGCATGACCATCGCCACGTCCACATGGACCTCCGGCTTGATGCAGGTGCCCAGCAGGTAACTCCCCACCACCTTCACCGCCGCCGGCGGCAGGAAGCGGAAGCTGCCCTTCACGCTGAAGGGGAGCTGCAGAAGCGGCACCTTCACCCCCTTTGGGAGCCAGGACTGGTCCGTGATCTGGACAGGGGAGGCAAGAGAAGAGAAGATCGGTCCCGCCGGGTGCATCCATGCAGGGTGATCCACAGTTCAATGGAGGATGTGCCAGCCGAGTCCCCTCAGCCTCAGCCTTCTTAAACCCACGGGCTCAGAGAGGAAGCCCCGGCCAGGGCGCCCCCTGCTGGGATGAAGAGGCTGCAGCACTGGAACCTGGTCTCCGTCCAGCCATGAGGCTCATGGGACTCGGGGCCAGGATCCGACTCTCAGGCTAACCCCCTACCCCACAGCGTTGTTGTGAGGATAAGAGGGAGGGGAGGGCTATCCCCGCCACTTTGGGCTCCTTGCAAAAGGGGAAAAAAGCAGGGTATAAATGCAACTATCAATTTAAAAATATTGATTGATTGATTGAAAACTTTTCTAGGCCGCCCCTTAGCGTGGTCTCGGGATGGTTTAACAATCAGACAATATAAAACAAAACACAGCACCCTAATAAGCTTCCAACCAGCACTAAAACCCCCATCAAAACAATCAGATCTTAAAACACTGGAAAGGAAAAAGGTTTGAAAATTTGAAAAGTAGCATAGCCGAACCAGTGGTCACCGCGGCAGCATCCGGAGCATGTGCCTGAGCTGGCACCTGCCGTTCCTCCATGGTCTGGATCAAACATTCATGCAAGCGTGGGATCTCAAGAGCACGACCAGCTAGCTGACCGAGGCCTCGTTCTCCCCACAACCGACACTGCAAGGGGGAGCTCTGGCAGCACTTGCTGCGGCCGATTGAGGCCAGATTGAGGCTGCCCCCCTGGATGCCCTTACGCCTTATTAGGAGCAAGTCTCCCTGAAGGCCGCAGGAACGACATCCGTTAAAAACGCACACAAGATTATGATGTAAACGGTGTGCCTCTCAGACATACATTTCTTTCTGGAGTCTCTGGAACTGCGCTCAGCAAAGCATTGATTTCGTGGAGGAAGGAGTCGATTTTGTGTTTCCTCTTCTCCTTGAGCGTCACCTCTTTTAAAAGTTCCTCTATCTGCAGAGGGGGAAAGACACAAGAAAGAAGATAATCATAGGGATGGAGACTGAGAGGGGCAGAGGGGCAGTAATTCCACCAGGGAAGGGAGCAGAAACGAACAAAGTGGATTCACAAAGGTCAACGAGAAGAAGGAAATAACCGACTGACACAAAGGGCAGTAGAGGCTGTGAAAAACAAGACAGCGTGGGGAAAAGAACTGAGAGAGATGGAGGATGGTGGAGAGCTTTCCCAGTGAGAGCAGAAGCTCAAAGATATGCAAAATCTAGCAGGACCTCAGTATTGAGAGACGGGGTGGCATAATCAGAACTGAGAAAGAGAGTTGAGCTCTGAGGGTTTAACAGAGGGCTGGCAGCACATTCTGCAGTCCTTGGGAAAGCTGGAAGGGAGATCGAGCTAGGAAGAAAATATGACAGGTTCTCCCAGCCGAAGCTCTCTCCCAGTAGGCTAAAGGAGGATGTTTTCCCAGCAGAGACAGAGCCAACCAAAGTTTTCTCTAGGCTGACAAGGCCTGCCGTGCAGCCAGTGCAGTATCTCCTGGAAGGGCTGACTTGACTGTTCTAGGGCCTTGATTTATTTTATACCCTGAGGCTTCTGTGAGGTCCTGCCAAGCCAGATGTCAGCCTATGGCCTCCAGCCAGAAGGGCCTGGAACAAGCCTCTGGCCTTCCCATTCCCAAGGATGTTGCCAGTGCCTTGTCCTCCCCAGAGCCTTCCGTTGCGGCCTGGAAGGCCAAAGGACTGAGGGGTCAGGTCAGCTGGAGCAGGAGCCAGGGCAACGAAAGAGGGCGGTCTTCAAAGCACGAAGAAGAGCCCTTCAAAGTCTCTTTCGATGCAGAGGAAAGAATGGAAGGAGCCCCCAGAAGCTGTCGCCCCTAGCATGCAAAAAGACACAGCCTGGCTTACGTAGCAGACCGTGCAGAAACAGCGAATCTTTCAAAAGCAGAACTCCACCAGCTGGAAGAGGTGTGCCCTGCTAAGTCAGCTCCACCCACCAAGCCTCACCTGCAAGCGCAGAAGGTTGGAATGGAACAGGTTTTCGGTCTCCTTCAGGCGACTCAGTTCTTCATTGGTGGGTGGCTTGTACAGCTCCGCTTTGCACAGCTTCACTGGCTGCAAGACGCCTGCAGAGGCTGGGGGCCTTTTCCTGCCCCGTCGCTTCCCCTCCTCCTCGGTGGAAGCCTCCTCACCCTCATTCATCTCCAGCGCTTCACCTGTCTCCACATCTTCGGCCATCTGTAGTTAATGACAAGCTTATCAGGTCTAAAAGTACTGCTGGGTGAAAAGCAGAGTTGCTTGCCAGCTGGATTTTCTGCAACCCTTCTAAGGGACGAGTTGCTTGCTTCCATTTATTTATCTATGAAATATGTGTACCGCCCATTACTTCCATCTCTGGATGGTTTACAACATTAATCAGAATAAATTAAATTAGCTAAAGTAACCATTAACTATTCCACGCTGGCTGAAAATCCAATAAAATACAAACAATAAAATCCAATTAAACCATATTAAAATATTGATCGAATAAAAAGGTCTTGACCTGGCACCGAAAAACGTATAATGACGGCGCCAGGCGGACCTCTCTAGGAAGTGCATTCCATAGTCTGGTGAGGCTGTAAAATCTGATCTAACATTTCACATTTTCTGCTTCTTCCCCCAACACTTGCTTCTTGTACCACCTGGCCAGAGGAAGGATTCAGGAGAGCCCCAAAGCGTACCCAATTTTCTGCAGCACTTTGCTTGATGCAAGTTAAAGTATTGGTTAAATGCATACCTTGGCCTCTCTCCTCGAGTTGGACTCAAAGATCAGAGTGGCTACAGCTGCATGATATTCTAGCCCTTGTCTGGCCCAGCACAGCTCTCCTTGCCAGTTCCTGAAGGGGAGCTTTTAACTGGCCGGGCTCTTTGACAATGCCTTTAACGAACCCGAATCTACACAAGGTCTCAAGAAATAAAGCAGTGCAAGGACGGAGTGGCGGTTGGCCGCTACAAAAGGGAGCTCGGGCGCCAGAGGGACGTCACATTCGGCATACGGCCATCCTGGAGGCATCAAGGCGGGTGCTGCGGGAAATAAAGTAGCTCCGCCTTCCCCAACGAGGCGCCCTTCGGGCGTGCTGGGCTGAAGCACCCCTCATCCCCATGCTGCCTGGGAATGATGAGAGTTGCAGTCCAACGCACGCGGAGCGCGCGGCTGGCACAGGCCGCCCGGAGACCCTCCCCAACGGCGCCCCACGCCCAGGACCCACCTTGCGCAGACCGCTGCTGCATCCACGCGGGGGCAACTGTGCAAAACCACGTGGAATCCGGAGGAACGGCCTCTTCCGGGTTGTGGTCGCAATTAGGCTTCTGATTGGATCAAGCTAGGCACGTGGTTTCTCCCTTTCCGCCCATTCGAGCCACAAGGCCACGCCCGCAGGAGCAGTTCGGTTGATTTGCGGGAGTCTAACGCAAACAGATATAAAAAGTGTAGAGCAGCCCGCTTCAAGTTCCAGCTGGGGACTTCCGCGTCCGCAAGCTCCAAAATGAAAGGTTAGAGAAGGATGGAGAACTGTAAGGACCTGTCCAAGATTTTAGCACCGCCGCGGCCGGATAGCAAGAGGAGCCTGCTCCAGCTCGGGTCTCCTTGCGCGCGGTTGCTCTTTTGCGCTGTAGAGACTTAACCGAGAGATCATCATCCCCATGCCGCCAATTGGAGAGACAGCCTGTGACGCAGCTTACAACAACCCTGCAGTGTAGCTTCACCTTGATCTTGCATTCAGAGGTCGGGATGAGGTTGTCCTGGATCCCCAGTCAAAGGCATCCTATTGAAAATAACCCACACGGGAACCTCTTTCGAAGCATTTAGAAATGAACGGTGCTCGCGCTTCCCTTGCCCCAGCGGACCCAAGCAAGCAAAGAGCTGGACGTTTCGTCCCCTGCACGGGCGGATGGGATGCGCCGCTGCCCGCCCGGAGCCGGACGAAAATCCGAGAGTTCTCCTCTCGTTTCTACAGAGAGCTTTTGCAGCCGCCCCAGCGCACTTGAAGGAAGCGGCTCGGGACCCGGAAGTGAAGCTTTGAGCTCGAGGCTACATCTACCTTCCACCATGGGCGGGCCGCTGCAGCGGGAGAGCGACACTTCCCGTCGCTGCTTTACGGCTCGGCGTTGCTGTGGGAACGGGGTAGCTCGCCAGGGCCTCGAAGGGGAAAGCGCGGCCGGCGGACGTCGAGGCCACCCTGTCCCCCCACTGAGGAGCCTCGCGGTTTCCTAACGAGCTCTTCTGATTGGTGCCAGTGCTTGTCCATCAAAGCCAATCCGGGCCTCTATTGGTAATTGTTAGCCCAATGGGGGCGAAAGGACTTGTTCGGGCTCCTCGACATAAAGTGAAAGCCTCACAAGTTAGGCACTTCCGGGTTCCTGGCGTGGGGCAGACGTCAGAGCTGTCCGGAAATGTGATTGGTCAGCAGGAAGAGAAAGGCGGGCGTTTCCCAGGAGGGAAGTCCAGATTTTTGAATGGCCGGGAGTGAAAGTTTCCCCGCTTCCTATTGGCCCTTTTCGCATTCGCTCCCTTTGTAAGCTCCTCGGGGCGGGATGGCTTGTGCCCTTTGTTTCGTGAGCCTGGGGAAAGCGACGCCCTGGGATCCGCCATTAACAATGCCTATAATTATTCATTAAATAAATAACTATTTATTCACCCGGGCTAAAATTGCTATTCGATTTGAAATTCTGTTCAATTAGTTAATATGGGAGGAGTTGAAAATTACATTTGAAGAAGCTAGGGAATATGTTGAGGGCTGTTTAAACAGAAAATTTTTTTTCACATCCGAGCCAGACTGCACCCCACCTTGAGGGCGACACTATCATAATTCTTCCATCATCATTACCATCATCATCCATTTTCTTTATAACTTTATTTCTCTTGTAAGGAACCCAAGGTGGCCTACATTGCTTTACTTCACAACAGCCCTGTGAGGTAGGTAAGGCTGAGGCTGGCTCAAAGTGCAGAGTGACTTTCATGGCCAAGCGGGAACTAGAAGCTGGAACTCCCAGGCTCCTGTCCAACACCTTCACCATTATGCCCCATTGGGTCTGTTATTATCTGTGTTGTTATGTCATATATGTATTTCCCTTTAGTAAATGTTTTCTTGTTCTCAAAGCTCTAGGACCATGTAGCACTGGTAAAACAATTATATCTAAGACACGCCCTCTCTGGAGTTTTTCATTCAAACTTCTCCGTTCTTAAGTTTCTAACCTTCCTGTGCGCCAAAAATGGCACTCAAGTCATCTATGATAAAATACCAAAACAAACCCCAGTCCAGAATTTAGATTAAAATGTAACAAATTAAGGGCACAATACTATGCATGCTTAGACTCACCCCCCAGCCCCCTGCAACTCCTCTGTGCTCTTTAACCTGAAAATCCTGTTTCTAAAATATGTCTTAAAGCCAGCTTTGTGTCAGGTTTCCCTGAGTGACTGAAATGTTGAGGAATCTGTTGAATCCAAGAGGCTGAAATTTTGGGTTTAACAGGATCTTGCTCAACATTTTGGTGCTCATGCCAAGCCACCAGCTGCCCCGCGATGCTTTTTGCCGCGATATTCAACCCCATTCTGCAATCTGAAGAAAACCTAGCTATTCATTGTGACATTTTCAAACAGCTCCATATCCACACCTCTTGGAGCAGTGTAGAATAAAAGCACACAATGCAAAAAGAAACATCAAGACGTTCTTAACATTTTTGGAATATATTACTCGGTCAAGATGCCCTTGCCTACAGAGGAATGTCCTGGAAAATGTAGTGTTGGCTACACAGGCGCCTGATCTCGGTTGGAGAAGAGCCTTCCACTGGCAAATGGACTTGTCGAAGGGATTTGAGCGGCCTGTGTCAGAATCCCGGAATCTCAATTTGAGAAGAGGGAATAAAACTCGGGTTCGTGGGAAAGATCAAGCATCCAGACCATCTAGGCTTTATTGTATTACCCAGGTTCCCCGCAGGTCCAACTCACGATAATGCATTACCGGGCACGCAGAGGTGAACTCTGCTGCCAAGCTTCAATACCATTACAGGGCATTTATAGGTACACAGGTACAGGGCAATTGATGACAGAATGCAGAGATTACAATAAGATTCTGAGGTCATCACATGCAGAACAGATAAAGGAATGTCAGCCAATCATACAGAGACAATAAGATTACAATATCTCTAATTGCAGTGTATTGACACTTTAGCTGAGTAACTTGAACCCATCTCCAGGTCTGCTCCGACATGCAAATTCAAGCTACTGAGAAACTATGCATGATAAACTCAAGACTCTTATCTAGACTCTAAACATTCTGAGTGACCAGGGCACATGGAGCCCTGAGCCAGGAAGAGACTTCCTTGTAAAACTGAATTCCAACAATGACTATTTAATCACTGTGAAGGTATACAATGTAAATTTGGACTAAATGGCCTGTGTACTGTAGCTTACAGCTAAAGGTGAGAGAAAGGAGCGGGGGAGGAAGGCCATTTGAAACAGTGACTTAGCTTGGTTTGAGAAGTACAGGATTTGATCCCACAATGCAAAAAGCACACAGAAGTAATGCTTTTCGGACAAGATTTATCCAAATTTTCCCAACACCTGCAAGAGGAGTGTCTCCAGAGGCGTGTGGATGGCTGGCTGATGATCAGTAGGGAGGCATTAAATGCATCCTCTCGCCAGAGGTGGGGAACAAGGCACGGTTTTGAGAAGAACACTTGAAAATCGGGCTGGGACGGCCTGTGTGGACTTTGGCCTTGGTGAGCGTTTCAGGCGTTGGCTGTTTCTTGGAGCTCTCCTGCAAAATCCATGGACTTTGGATGTCTGGAGTGTTTACCGGGACTTAGGCAACTGGCTCCCCTTCAATCACAACGTCCTGGTCTTGCTGGCTGTGGCTGCTTGAACCCATAGTCTGAAACGTGTGAAGAGGACCCAGTTGTCTGGTTAAAGCTGTACTTCCATTTATCCTAAAATTCTGTATTTGTAAATAAGGGTAACTATTACACTAAATATCTTCCAATTCTTTTCAGAGTGAAATCAATGTAGGTGCTGTGTTCCTGGAAATTCTCGGAGCATGAGCATCGGGTTTTTTAAGGTTTTTAATTATGAAATGCTGTCGAAAGAAAACTATAAAGAAATGGGGAAGCTGTCTCTGTATAGATTTGGGTAGCTCAGGTTTAGTGCGTGCATTTACTGATGCATGGAACTATCAACGAAAATACTGTGTTCTAAGAATTATGCATAAGGTGGGTTTGCGCGATACATTAAGCCATCCTGCAAATAGCCAAGGGTAGCTTGGTTGGTTGTTCGCGAGACAGCCCACAATGCGCCCAAAGACAATTGAGCTCATCCAGGGTTCTCTCTTCTGCCAGCGACACAGGAAACCTGGCAGCAAACGCCGCCGTGTCAGCTTTCCCAGGGCCGCTTTGCTCGCTGCAGGGTTCTCTCCCACAAACTCTTTATTCCTTTTTAGAATACCATTCTTCATGTTGAAGGAACCTGTAGAGACAGTCCCACTGCCTCTGAAAAAAAGCAAATGTTTTGTGTTTATGATTCAGCTTAAGAACGTGAGAAGAGCCCTGCTGGATCACACTCATTTACTTATTTCATTTTATTTAACACATTTTTACCCCATCCTTCCCAATAAAATGTCTTGGGATGGCTTGCGATAATTAAAATAGTAATATACTAGTACAATGATTAAAACAACAAGTAACAAAGAAAAAAATATAACAATTCCACAAAACTGAAGAAAAAAAAGAAAATGTGACTGTAATCTTAAATCTTAAAGCATCCAGAATCTTTAATTCTTAAAACGATGGTTAAATACAAAGGTTTTTACCTGGCGCCGAAGTGAGTATAAAGTCGGCGCCAGGCGAACCGGCTGCTCCAGCAGTCCCTGCTCATGGTGGCGAACCAGCTGCCCACAGGACCCCTCCAGCCGGGTGGGTGCAAGGCCTCCTCCTGCTCGAGCCCCTCAGCAACTGGGGTATACAGGCAGGCCGCCTCTGGTGAAGGAGGCGCCCATGGCCAGCAGGGCTAGTAGCCCCCGATAGCCACCTCCTCCTCCACGAATCTGTCCGATTAGCGTGGGCAGTGAGTGAGCCATAGGGAATAAAAGGTCAAGCTCCTTTTGAGTTGGAGCCAGGTCCCATGCATGCATGCATGAGCTTTCGTCCGGGTCACACGACAGCCGGAGGGACTGCCCCGCTGGGCTGAAGGGGCCGGATCCTGTGCCCCCCCCCATGGCCTGAGCGGCTGCCCAATCATTGCCCCTACGCCTTGTCTTGCTGCTTCTGCAGCTGCAGGAATGGCGGAAAGATCCCGCACGGCCCCATCCGTCCTTCGCCCACAAATGAACGGGGAGCAGCAACGCCCGGCAAAATGCTCGTTTTTCTGTTTATACCAAGAGAGGGAAGAAGCCGAGTGCCAATTCCGCAAGGAGATCAGAGCAGATGTGATGGAAGGGAAGGAGGAACTGAGCCCCCGAGGTTTTCTACTCGGCTCTTCATGCTCCTTGCAATGTATGGCTGTGAAAGCTGGACCACAAGGAAGGCTGAGCGCCGAAGGATTGAGGCCTCTGAATTGAGGTGCTGGAGGAGACTCCTGCCAGTCCCTTGGAGCGCAAGGCGATCAAACCGGTCAGTCCTAGAGGAGATCAACCCTGACTGCTCTTCAGAAGGCCAGATCCTGAAGATGAAACTCAAATACTTTGGCCACCTGATGAGAAGGAAGGACTCCCTGGAGAAGAGCCTGATGCTGGGAACAGTAGATGGCAAAAGAAGGAGGGGAGGGCAGAGGATGAGGTGGCTGGATGGAGTCCCTGAAGCAGCCGGCATGAGCTTGGGTGGACTCCAGGAATGGTGGAGGACAGGGGGGCCTGGAGGACTGTTGTCCATGGGGTCGCGATGGGCCGGACGTGACTTCACGACTAGCAGCAACAACTCCATGCTCCACGTGAGCCTTCCTCAAAGACTGTGCTTGGTGGCCACAGCCGTGCAGGAGTTGCCGAGGCCCTAGGCTGTCTGCCTTTGGCTCC